GTAAATCAGGAGGGATCATGAATAGGGTTGCCAACCGTCCCTTGAAAAACGGAATCGTTCCGTATTTAGAAATAGAAGTACCTGTCCCATATTTAGTGGAAAAGAAACCAATTTTGTCCCATTTTACTGTGAGAGTAAAAAAATTGTCAGTAAAACCTAATGGAAATAAAGAACAAGGGCACATTAGATGCAAAACTTACGGTAAACTTCTTCAAAGGCCCTGTCCTGCGCTGTGACCAATGAGCTGACAGCATAGATGTAACGATCCAGAATCCCCTCATCCCATTGGTCCAGCCAAGTGTTGCTTATGGAGAAGATAGCAGGATACATCAGAGCAGGATGGGGGACGAACGGAGGAATTTAAATACTGACGCTGCTTTTGGGGGCGGGGCACTTTCACATAGCCATGCTCCTCCTCCAAAAAAAAAAGGGATGCAGAAATATATGTGAAAAAACAATTACAAGGGTGGAATAGGTCAGCGATAATGAATATAAAGCACATTGCAGGGTGTCATTTCACACACAAAGGAGGGCTAAAAAAAAATCACCACGCCAGGAGGGGGAAAGGTAATCGGGTCAGCTGGCACGCACATGACGTCCCTGTTTTTCTATTTCAGGGAGTTGGCAACCCTAATCATGAAGGATGTTTAAATACTACATTACCCATGAGCCTCAGCTGGTGGTGGTGATGCGTTCTACTTGCCTTCAGATGTTTGAATCAACGAGTTTTAATTTGGAAAAGCAAATTAAGGTAAACAAGCAGGCTTAGGTCAGGATCCAAAATGGCCGCCCTTCAGATAAAAGCAAGATAGATGAATAAGCTACAGTTTGGCTTTGAAGTTTTGATAGACCGTCTCTTTGAAGCAGATCCTCTTAAAGAGCTGATCTTCATCGCTTCCTTTACTGTTTGATCAAAACCAAACACAGAATGCTAACGGTCGCTAGCATCACAGACATTAGCGGGACCACCTGGCTTTCCCATTTGTAGCTGGACCGAAGTCTGTTTGGTTCTGGCTTTGCTCTGAGATCCAAACTCTGAACGCAGCATCAAAGCTAATCTCTAAGCTGCTCTCACATTGGCTGATATCTAGCAGCTGGGCTTGCTGGGAGTTGTAGTTGATCAGCTGCATCATTACAGGTTGTGTCATTAAATGCAGTTTACCTCTGATAGGACAAACGGACATATAGCGTCTGGAACCGTGGCGACAGCTTCTGAGCTCTGTGATTGGCTGCTGGTTGTAGACTTTCCTGTGCCTCCAGTTTGTTGCTGTACTGACTCGTCTGTTTGTGGAAAAACTTAGATTTTTGTGTCACAATAAAAAAATAAAGTCATTAAACTCATCCGCTTCAGTCTGTGCTGTAGAACTGTGAGTCCTGGAAGTGAAGCCGCAGCTCGGATGTCGGAGCAGCGAGATCCAGTTCAGGAACCGAACCGGGAAAGAATGTGTTGCTGAAATCAGGGAGTGTGCTGTGGCTGTTGTTATGGTGATTTCCATCTTTTCAGAAAAGCCCGATGTTCTGTCAGATGAGCATACCCAGTCAGACCAGCATACACAACGCAAATCTGACATCTTGCCCATCTGTATTGACTATGGGTATGCTGGTCTGACAGAACACTGGGGGGAAAAATTTATTGTTTTCATTTCAAAACCACAGATCAGAATTCATGCCTCCGATAGGTAAGAGTTAAAAATGTCTGAAAATGCCTTGGCCTGTTTGCACCAGAACATTCAGTTGGCTTATCGTATGAATTCAGCTGAATTCACCATATTTAAACAATGCCAACCCACAACATGTCAATGAGCAGTTTTGTCCATTCAGCCCAATCAGAGACATGTCCTGAGTCCAGGACATCAGTTCTTTTACATCCATCCATCCATCCATCCATCTTCCTCCGCTTAACTGGGGTTGGGTCGAGGGGGCAGCAGCTTAAGAAGGGAGGCCCAGACTTCCCTCTCCCCAGCCACTTCTTCCAGCTCTTCAGGAGGAACCCCAAGGCGTTCCCAGGCCAGCCGAGAAACATAGTCTCTCCAGCGTGTCCTGGGTCTCCCCCCTGGACCTCCCCCCGGTGGGACGTGCCCGGAACACCTCACCAGGGAGGCGTCCAGGAGGCATCCTAACCAGATGCCCGAGCCACCTCATCTGGCTCCTCTCGACGTGGAGGAGCAGCGGCTCTACTCCGAGTCCCTCCCGGATGACCGAGCTTCTCACCCTATCTCTAAGGGAGAGCCCAGCCACCCTACGGAGGAAACCCATTTTGGCCGCTTGTATCCGCGATCTCGTTCTTTCGGTCATGACCAAGAGTTCATGACCATAGATGAGGGTAGGAACGTAGATCGACTGGTAAATCGAGAGCTTCGCTTTTTGACTCAGCTCTCTCTTCACCACGATGGACCGGTACAGCGCCCGCTTCACGGCAGACGCTGCACCAATCCGCCTATCGATCTCCCGCTCCCTTTTTCCCTCATTCGTGAACAAGATCCCAAGATACTTAAACTCCTCCACTTGGGCAGGACACCCCCCTGACCCGGAGAAGACACTCTACCCTTTCCCGGCTAAAGACCGTGGCCTCGGATTTGGAGGCACTGATCCTCATCCCGGCCGCTTCACATTCGGCTGCGAACCGATTCAGCGAGGCTGCAGATCAAGACCTGATGAGGCCAATAGGACCACATCATCTGCAAAAAGCAGAGACGCAATCCTAAGGCCACCAAAACGGATCCCCTCAACACCTTGGCTGTGCCTAGAAATTCTGTCCATGAAGGTAATGAACAGAATTGGTGACAAAGGGCAGCCCTGGCGGAGTCCAACTCTCAGTGGAAACGAGCCCGACTTACTGCCGGCAATGCGGACCAGACTCTGACACCGGTCATACAGGGCTTTATAAATTCAGGCTTTAAGCGATTAATATAGGCGTTCATAAACTGTTTCAGAGGAGTGATCATAGCGCTCTGCATCAGCAGTGCTGTGTCTGACTCCCTGCCAGCTCCCAGATCAGCTTCCCTCATTGGTTGATGCGGCGCATCCAGCAGAGAAAGTTAAATTTTTCCAACTCCGGCAGCTGCTGCTTGAGCAGCACGTCACGTGCCTCAGATGCTCATGCGTTTGGATAAAATGAGCTGAATGCAGGTTACATTTGACAGAGTTACATTTCTTTATTAAAGAGTTTCAAACAAAGAGTTATAATCTACAGGAAAGCATCAAAATGTTGGTTTGATCCAAGCCTACAATCCGTCTCTCCCGGATCGGATCCACTCCGGTTAGTTTTCCAATGAAGCTGTTCTGTGGAGCTTATGGCTGATTTAAGAAAAGAGACAGGTCTGTCCAGGCAATTTAGTTTTCTTTTTCCTTTTATTAGACTGAAAAGAAAATAAATAAAATTGCACACAATATCCATCTGCTTATGCCTTCTTTCAAACAGGTTCATAAACTTTACAGAAACATCCTCATCCTGAAAAACAAACCAAAAAATGGAGGAATCTGAACTAGAACAGCGGGAGAACAGAGGAGCTGAAGGTAGATTAGGTTCCATGATCACAGTGGGAACAAAAATGCAGACTAGGGAGCAACTTTCATCCGTTTCCACTGCTGTTGGCTCTGCAGCTCATTTCATTGCACGGCATGGGTTCTGATCCGATCTGCTGGGAAGCCCAGATGTGCTCAAAAGAAGCATGTGTGTTTCACCCTTAAAAACAACAACAACAAAAACTAACAGATTTTCCCTTTTGTGCAACTTTATAAAAAAAAAAATTCACAGTTTGAGCATAAAGTGTTTGTAGTTTTCTCTCTTTCCGTAAATACACAGGTCATGAACTTATTAACTCCCATCACGCATTGCTTCCTTAAAGTCATAGGGAAGTGGCCGTTCCAGTGGTCTCACGAGTGGTGCACGACTTTACACAAGTGAATAAAGTGAATGTGATTGGTCAATTATCAAGGGGGCGGGATTGTTGTGGCAGAAGGTTCGCAAGCTAGTTTGGTAGTGGCCAGTTTGTCGGAAGCATCTTGCTAACCAGTTAGCAACTTAGTGCTAGTAGGTTCCCAATGGGAAATTCCATTGGGACCAAGTAGCACTAAATTGGTGCCTTAGAAACGACGCTGTCAAGGAACGCTATGGACAGCGGAAACATGCAAGAGGAGGAGAGTTTAGTGTCGGAGGTCGTGGATGAGTCTCCTCCGTCATCCATTTTTTATTTAGAGGAGGAAAGCGGTAGCCTCGTGAGACCATCCTGATCTCGCGAGCTTTCAAGGTTTTACTCGCTAATCAGTCTGGAGACTCTCCGTTTAAGAAAATTTGGAGCCGTTCACCAAACGAACGTCCAATCAGCGTTGGCTTTGAGGCGGGTTGAGGTGTGACGCAACGAGAAGCGCGACAGTTCAGTCTAAAGAACATGGCGGCTTCAGCCGATGAAACTAGCGTTAGCGTGGCTATCGAGCAAGTTTTATCGGAATTACAGAGTATTTCTTCACTGAAAGAAGAGCAAAACACTGCTCTGGAGGCTTTTCTCAGAGGAAAAGATGTTTTTGCTCTTCTCCCGACTGGTTACACAGTTCCAGTTCCGCCAGATGGATTTGCTCCATCTGGCGGAGTCAGGTTAGGAAAGCGGGGACGAAGATGTTGTGGAAGAGGACGCCAGGGCGGCAGAAGCTTGGTTTGGTGTAGAAGGCTTCCAGCCGTACATGTTTGAGCCCTTGCCTCGCAACGCTGCCAGTTCTGTTAGCTCTACGCCTGCCGAAGACACAGACGTCCATCCCCGTGAACACTGGGACGCAACTCAATGGGAAAGGAAAGGATTCTGGTTTCAACCGTTGCGTATATTAGCTGCGACATATGAATCAATTTCCATATTCAATGTATAACATGGATGCATAATCACCTCATTTTATTTAAGTGTTAAATTATGTTTAAAGTATCAGATTATAATTAAAAATGTCTCTGGACCTTTACTGGTTGAATTTCTTTATTCCCGCTGATTTTTAATTGGTTACCACTGCTATAAAGCCTCAAACTCAACTCTATTTCTGACATTTTGAATTGAAAAAGCTTCCTGGATGGAAGAGAGAAACGTCTTCAAACTTGGAAACAGAGTTTTTTAACCTGGATGACTGAGAATCTTCACCAGCAAACATCTATGATCCTCACTGTGTCATTCTGATTCACTGGGTTCCTCTGTTGAGCTGAGACACACCTGTTCAGGTAAATGCAGGAGCTTTCCGCAATGATGAACAGACCCTTTATCCTCGGGTATATCCGTGGATCTGAAAGGTTCTAAAAGCCGTTTGATAATTTCTTCACAAAGGACTTAAAGCATTCTATCACCAGCACAGAACCTTGGTGTGAGCGGAGAAGCCACAGAGAACCGTCCATCATGGTTCACGCAACTCTAACAGCTGAGTTCCACTAAAACAATTCCAGCCTCTGGAGAAGGTGTCCTCTGCCAATGGAGATGATGAAACAGAAGAAGGTCTGGAGGACATAGAGATGTGTGGAAACCTTGAGAGGGACAAAGGAGAACCATCATAAGCCTTGAATAAAGTGATGATGCAGTAAAAGCTGAAGAGCTCACCTGGAGACTCAGGCTGACATCAGCAGGCCTGCAGTCACTGCAAAATCACAAACAGTTTCAGTATCAAACAGTTTACTGTGGTCAGCCTTCATCCTCCTCATCCTCCTGCTCACCGTCCGCAGCATCCGGCGGCAGCAGCGCGTCCTGCCTGTTGGCCAGAACGAAGGCCAACGTGGCCAGGATGGCGTAGTCCAAAATTCCCAGCATGGCCAGGATGTAGGCCCAGTGGACGGAGCAGTTACCTGGAGAGAAGCTGCCCACCTGAGGGTCCAAACACGGTCAGAGGCAGAACCTGGAACCTGATACTGCTCATCTAGAAACAGCTGCTGCACTGCAGGTACAAAAAACTGTAAAAGGTTCTCAAGACATTCTGCTTCGTTATGCTGGAAACATGAAGGCAGAATTTATTCCTGTTCTCATGGAACAAGCAGAGGAAGCAGATTCAGAAACATCTGTAACAAACCATCCTGTCAGCTGCTTATGACCAACAGGACGAATAACTGTACAAACATAAACGTAAACATTTTTATTCAAAGAATGTCCTCACCGAGTCGCCGCACAGAGCTTTCATCTCTGGACTTTCCCATGAGTCTGGAAACAGGAGACACGCCAAGGCGAGACAAAAACCTGTAGAGAAACAAATACATTCCACACAAACTGACCTCTACTGGCAGAGAGAGGGACTACGGCATCGCTGACCTCTACTGGCAGACAAATAAACTACGGCATCGCTGACCTCTACTGGCAGACAAATAAACTACGGCATCGCTGACCTCTACTGGCAGAGAGAGAGACTACGGCATCGCTGACCTCTACTGGCAGACAAATAAACTACGGCATCGCTGACCTCTACTGGCAGACAAATAAACTACGGCATCGCTGACCTCTACTGGCAGAGAGAGGAACTAAGGCATTGCTGACCTCTACTGGCAGAGAGAGAAACTACGGCATTGCTGACCTCTACTGGCAGACAAAGAAACTACGGCATTGCTGACCTCTACTGGCAGAGAGAGGAACTACGGCATTGCTGACCTCTACTGGCAGAGAGAGAAACTACGGCATCGCTGACCTCTACTGGCAGACAGAGAAACTACGGCACTGCTGACCTCTACTGGCAGAGAGAGAAACTACGGCATCGCTGACCTCTACTGACAGACAGAGAAACTACGGCATCGCTGACCTCTACTGGCAGACAGAGAAACTACGGCATCGCTGACCTCTACTGGCAGACAGAGAAACTACGGCATCGCTGACCTCTACTGGCAGAGAGAGAAACTACGGCATCGCTGACCTCTACTGGCAGACAAATAAACTACGGCATCGCTGACCTCTACTGGCAGAGAGAGGAACTAAGGCATTGCTGACGTCTACTGGCAGAGAGAGGAACTAAGGCATTGCTGACCTCTACTGGCAAAGAGAGAAACTACGGCATCGCTGACCTCTACTGGCAGACAGAGAAACTACGGCATCGCTGACCTCTACTGGCAGAGAGAGAAACTACGGCATTGCTGACCTCTACTGGCAGACAAAGAAACTACGGCATCGCTGACCTCTACTGGCAGAGAGAGAAACTACAGCATTGCTGACCTCTACTGGCAGACAGAGAAACTACGGCATCGCTGACCTCTACTGGCAGAGAGAGAAACTACGGCATTGCTGACCTCTACTGGCAGAGAAACTACGGCATCGCTGACCTCTACTGGCAGAGAGAGAAACTATGGCATTGCTGACCTCTACTGGCAGACAGAGAAACTACGGCATTGCTGACCTCTACTGGCAGAGAGAGAAACTATGGCATTGCTGACCTCTACTGGCAGACAGAGAAACTACGGCATTGCTGACCTCTACTGGCAGAGAGAGAAACTACGGCATTGCTGACCTCTACTGGCAGACAGAGAAACTACGGCATCGCTGACCTCTACTGGCAGAGAGAGAAACTACGGCATTGCTGACCTCTACTGGCAGAGAGAGAAACTATGGCATTGCTGACCTCTACTGGCAGAGAGAGAAACTACGGCATTGCTGACCTCTACTGGCAGACAGAGAAACTACGGCATTGCTGACCTCTACTGGCAGAGAGAGAAACTACGGCATTGCTGACCTCTACTGGCAGACAGAGAAACTACGGCATCGCTGACCTCTACTGGCAGAGAGAGAAACTACGGCATTGCTGACCTCTACTGGCAGAGAAACTATGGCATCGCTGACCTCTACTGGCAGACAGAGAAACTACGGCATCGCTGACCTCTACTGGCAGAGAGAGAAACTACGGCATTGCTGACCTCTACTGGCAGAGAGAGAAACTACGGCATTGCTGACCTCTACTGGCAGAGAGAGAAACTACGGCATCGCTGACCTCTACTGGCAGACAGAGAAACTACGGCATTGCTGACCTCTACTGGCAGAGAGAGAAACTATGGCATTGCTGACCTCTACTGGCAGAGAGAGAAACTACGGCATTGCTGACCTCTACTGGCAGACAGAGAAACTATGGCATTGCTGACCTCTACTGGCAGAGAAACTATGGCATTGCTGACCTCTACTGGCAGAGAGAGAAACTACGGCATTGCTGACCTCTACTGGCAGACAGAGAAACTATGGCATTGCTGACCTCTACTGGCAGAGAAACTATGGCATTGCTGACCTCTACTGGCAGACAGAGAAACTATGGCATTGCTGACCTCTACTGGCAGAGAAACTATGGCATTGCTGACCTCTACTGGCAGACAGAGAAACTACGGCATCGCTGACCTCTACTGGCAGAGAGAGAAACTACGGCATTGCTGACCTCTACTGGCAGAGAGAGAAACTATGGCATTGCTGACCTCTACTGGCAGACAGAGAAACTACGGCATTGCTGACCTCTACTGGCAGACAGAGAAACTACGGCATCGCTGACCTCTACTGGCAGAGAGAGAAACTACGGCATTGCTGACCTCTACTGGCAGACAGAGAAACTACGGCATTGCTGACCTCTACTGGCAGAGAAACTATGGCATCGCTGACCTCTACTGGCAGACAGAGAAACTACGGCATCGCTGACCTCTACTGGCAGAGAAACTATGGCATCGCTGACCTCTACTGGCAGACAGAGAAACTACGGCATCGCTGACCTCTACTGGCAGACAGAGAAACTACGGCATCGCTGACCTCTACTGGCAGAGAGAGAAACTATGGCATTGCTGACCTCTACTGGCAGAGAAACTATGGCATTGCTGACCTCTACTGGCAGAGAGAGAAACTACGGCATTGCTGACCTCTACTGGCAGACAGAGAAACTACGGCATCGCTGACCTCTACTGGCAGAGAGAGAAACTACGGCATTGCTGACCTCTACTGGCAGACAGAGAAACTACGGCATTGCTGACCTCTACTGGCAGAGAAACTATGGCATCGCTGACCTCTACTGGCAGACAGAGAAACTACGGCATCGCTGACCTCTACTGGCAGAGAAACTATGGCATCGCTGACCTCTACTGGCAGACAGAGAAACTACGGCATCGCTGACCTCTACTGGCAGACAGAGAAACTACGGCATCGCTGACCTCTACTGGCAGAGAGAGAAACTATGGCATTGCTGACCTCTACTGGCAGAGAAACTATGGCATTGCTGACCTCTACTGGCAGAGAGAGGAACTACGGCATTGCTGACCTCTACTGGCAGAGAAACTATGGCATTACTGACCTCTACTGGCAGACAGAGAAACTACGGCATCGCTGACCTCTACTGGCAGAGAGAGAAACTACGGCATCGCTGACCTCTACTGGCAGAGAGAGGAACTAAGGCATTGCTGACCTCTACTGGCAGAGAGAGGAACTAAGGCATTGCTGACCTCTACTGGCAGAGAGAGGAACTACGGCATTGCTGACCTCTACTGGCAGAGAGAGGAACTAAGGCATTGCTGACCTCTACTGTTAGAGAGAGGAACTACTGAATCAACGACCTTTATGAGCAGAGAGAGGAACTACAGCAATGTCAACCTCTACTGGTTTCCTTTATTAAAGGGAAACGCCGTTTTTTTTACATTGGGTCCTTGATTTTACGTTATTCCATCATGTTCTACTCACCCATATGAGTTTAGTGTCATTTGGAGCCGTTCTGAAGATATTCTGTTAGGTTCTTTCCAAGTAATGTCTTCCTATGGGCAACGACTTGAAGGCAAACATCATAGAATCAAAACAGATTTCAGTAGTGTCATTGCTATGCAGTCTTCTGGCCGCCACTCACATCCTGAGGTTTATGAGTTGGAAACCCACTCCCACAGACTGCCACTCTGTGTCTCTGAGCAAGACCCCTTACCCCACACTGCTACCCGGACGCGCCACAATGGCAGCCCACTGCTCCCCAAGGGGATGGGTTAAATGCAGAGAGGTAAACTTCTCCAATGTGAGATCAATAAAGTTCAATTTAAAGGTATATTATCTGACAAACTTTCAAAAATGGGTCAGCATGAAAGAAAAGTAAGGTAGACGAACGCAGAGAATGTTTTTTTTTATACTCAAGGCTATAAAGGAGGCGGCAAAATGTTTGAGACGGCAGATTCGACTTAATTGTACTGATGTCAAGAAAGCACAGATGTCCAAAAAGGTTTTCTTAAAATACAATAATAGCTTTTGGAGCCGTCTCCAGTCCGCTTGTCATTCACATCTCTAATCGCACCACGCAACGGTTCACTTCAACCCAACTAATACCTTTGCTTTAAAACAGACCTGAGTTTGCTTTTTTGTTCTGCATCAGAGTTTGATTAGTCACTGATACCTCTCTAAACTAAGCTTTCTGGCCAAACAATTTATGGTCTGATTAAAGCAGACTAAACAGGGCTTATATGAATGCACCCTTAGTGCCCAGGATAAAACAATTTCTTCTTTAACTGGTACCTTGGTCTCAAGCTCCAGCAAAAGTTGACACTGACCTGCCGTCAGCTGAAGCCAGGCACAGATCTTGTAGACGGTAGCAGCGCTGCAGAACCTGAAAAGGCAGAGACACAGAACGCTGGTCCACACCGCCCACAGAGACACTCCCACCAACACGGCCACCGACTGGAAGGACGGCAACGGAAACAGGCTGGACAAACCTCCGCGACAGTCAGGAACCGGCCAGTCGGTCTCCAGGCAAACCTGACCTCAGACAGAACACACAGGAAGAGAGCGAGAGATGGACACATTTACTGAGTGCAGAGCAGGAGTCAAGCTCCACAAGGACTTCATCAAAAAGGAGTCAGAACCGAAGCTCAGAGGTTTTCATGACCAGATCATCCAGTCAGATTGATTCAAAGTTTTCTATCTAAGGAAAACCAGCTGATTGCATCGACTCATTGACTCTTCAGCAATCCCTCACACTAAGCATGCTTGTAGCGACAGTGGAGAGGAAAAACTCCCTTTGAACAGGAAGAAACCTCCAGCAGAACCAGGCTCAGTGTGAGCGGCCATCTGCTGAGGCCCACTGGGGTTCAAGGAGACAGAAGCAGACATAGAAAAAAAAAGCATAGATACAAAAGGCAACTGTCAACCAGCTCCACAGGCGGCCCCGTCCAGGAAACACACAGCCAGGCAGACGAGCTCCGAGCCAGCTCCCATGTCAGAGGATGAAGAGAGCACATCCAGTTAGTCACAGTCAGAGAAACAGGACTACACTGGAAAACAGGCCAAGATCCAACATCTAGAAACAAAGGTGTTGATGGCAGCAGCACAGCTGATATTTCTCTCCAGGATGGAGTCACAGCCAAACAGGAACAGACCAGATGAAGCTACTATGAGAAAAAGCAGAGAGAGCAGAACGTTAGAGATTGAACTAACAGATTCTGCAGAGTGGGAGAATAGAGAGAGAATGAAGCAGAATGATGAAAAAGGGGTCCCTATGTCCTCCAGCAGTCTAAGCCAATAGCAGCAGAACTATAGAGATAGCTCAGGATAACCTGAGCCACTCTAACTAGAAGCTTTAGTAATGTTCAGGTTGTTCTGATGGCTCCAAATTGCATCATGAACAAATCCCTCTCACCATGATACCACCAACAGTCTGGACTATTAATACCAGGATGGATGCAAGTTTTCAGACTGTTTCCACCATGTTCTGATCCGACCATGTGAACCCTTCAGCTATAGTCCAAACTCACCGGACCAGGAAATATTTGCCACAACAATCCCGCCCCCTTGGGTCCAGTTCTGGTGACTCTGTGTGTCTGTGGTGCCTGCTTCTTAGCTTACATTAGTGGAACGCTTTGATCAAGTCAGGAGACTTGACCAAAGCACTATACAGTACATTCAGTCATTCACACTCACACTCTGATGGTGGCAAGCTACATTGTAGCCACAGCTGCTATGAAGAAATATTGAGTCAATCCTGAGGTTCGTTAAACTGAACTCTGAGCTGCGATTGGTTCTTCCTCACCTCAAACAGTCCCAGGGTGCCGCTGGGCAGAGGAGCTCCTGTCTGGTGGTTCCTGGTTTCTGTGGTTCCAATCCAGGAGGGCTGAATCAGGATGACCACCTGGATGATAGCAAAGCACAGCGTGCAGACGGCCCAGAGGACGCCGACCGCCCGGGCGCTTCGAACGAACTCCGTCTGGTAGAGACGAGACAGGTCGGCCAGGCCTGGCGACACCGACATCCCTGACAGACGGAGACAGGAGGGTTAACAAAACTTTATAGCATTGCCAAAAACAAAATGGAGGCAAGCCTGAGGAGGGAGAGGAGAGTCTATAATGGGCGTTTCTCAATATGCGTTCTTGAGCGTTCTCGTGTGCTCGTGTACTCGTGATACGTCATAAGCCTCAGCCCGAGTACCGTTCCAATTCTCAAGAACGCCAGATCGAGAACGCACCAAATCCCCGGATGTTGTTCTCGCCCCGCCCTCTTTATCGAGCATGCATCAGAGCAGACTTTTGCGTTCTTCAGACTGACCGCTTTCCCAGAATGCCCCGCGGCCGCAGCTTCTTTCCAGTTAGTGCGAAATTTTAAAAAAAAGTCTGACGTTGAGCGGACCAGAGTGACCAGCAGACCTCCGAGGGTAACCGCAGCCAGGGCTAATGTTACCCCGTCTGTAGTGCACTTCTCTCGGTCTAGTTATGTGTGAACTACCGCTCGTTCTGATGGCGGTTTTTTTGCGGTTCGGTAATTTTTTTTAATGTTTTTTAAGCTTTAGAAATTAAAAATATTGTTTTCAACATGTTTTGTGTAGGGAATAAATAGTTTTGACTGTTAAAGAAATGCTAAACAACGTTGCATGTGATGACGTCACGAGTACACTTCTGCTCCAATACACATACGTGCTTGCGTGCTCGCGTTCTCGTCAAGTCCGCTCTTCCTGCGTTCTCGCCAAAAACGGACTTGACGAGAACGCGAGTACGTACTCGCGTTCTCGCGAATTGAGAAACGCCCCAAGCTTCTGCTGCCCTGGCGTCCTCTTTGTCCTTATTTCTGATTTCAACCGTTGCGTAAATTAGCTGCGACTTATGAATCAAGATGCTATGACTGAAAACATTTGATTGACAGATGATCGTTGATATATGATTGGCTGAATTTAGGTGTTCGGGCTGAAGTAGAACTAACTGGCCTGCATGACATAACGGATAACGGATTTCTTTCTTTTAATAGAAATGTTGTCACTTGTGGGACAATATAGTCTGATAAAGAATACATTTATATCCATGTTTAAGCCAGAATGATTGACATTTAGATATGATTTCCCTACGACTTTAAGATTTGATCATATTTACTTAAAATATCATCTTAAAAATGAACTTTCAAAATGAATCTTGCACTACTTACCTTGACTGGAATATTGATTTGCGCTGCGACTGTTTATTTACAGAACATTGTAGTAAGTTTAATTCAGAAAGCTTCTGTCCAAGTTTTATTAATTTATTCTATAGTAATTATATTGTATATCCTGCACTTGCTGCTTTTACACTTCTGGTTAGACCTAAACGGCATTTCGTTGCCTTGTACCTGCACCTGTGTAATGACAATAAAGTTGAATCTAATCCAATCTAATGTGACAACCCTTCCAGCTGGGGCACTGCTGCCATGGAGGATGGAGGCTCAGTAGGTCCCTGGTGAAGGGCTCAGCAGTCCTGCGGGCAACGTTCTCTGAACACACCGGTTTGTTTATGGCCTACCCCTGTCATCAATACCCCAGAACCATCTTTAGTCTGGCTCTAAATGTCAGAAGTTGTTGAAAAGACGACCCAGATTCCATGATCAGAACTAGGCCTCATTGGAAATGTTCCCCTGCCTCCTGATTGGCTCCTGAGATGCAAACACTCAGCATCCAGCTGCAGATCTCAGGAACAGTGAACGATCTGAGTGAAGCAACACATCATCAGCCAGTTCACCATTCATCAGAGGAGTGCAGCCAAACAGCACAGCAATCCTCACCGCAGGATCAAAGAGGGACAACAAAACAAACCATCAAAGGTTCTGCAGGAAACAGCCTGACGGAGCTGCAGCCAATCACATTCAGCCCTGAAGCATCGCATCAACATCCCGGGATTAACACGCACGACCCGCGGCGCATTCATGTTAAAACAGGCAGCACAAGAAGAAAAGGGCAGACCTGCAGCAGAAGGAGGGCGAGGAGGTCCAAATGGAGGAGGAGGATGTTTCCTGCAGGAGGAAGAGGAGGAGGATATTTCCTGCAGGAGGAAGAGGAGGTCTGACTCTCTGCAGGAGGAGGATGAAGAGGTGGAGGGTTTCTGCAGGAGGAGGAGCTCCCCGGATAATGATGCTGTAGATGATGAGGAGGGTTTCTGTGAGAGGGTCACCATGGAAACAGGCTGTAGTTCGTCACCATGGCGACAGCTGCGAAGCGCCTCTCTGGGAGGTTTTAATGCAGAAACCAAATATGTGACCAAGGAGCATTTTCTGACCCACAGCTGAACTTCTTAGAATCAGAGATTTATTTCTACGCTGGTTCTGAATCAGTAATTATCTCTGGCGGCAGAGAGGCCCAAAGGTTCGCTGGTCAGAGAAGGTTCTGCCTGTATTATTAATAGAGTCTAACCTGAACACAAACCTGATGCTACGTTCACACCTAAAGCAGCAGAAGCAGCAAAAACGCCATGAGGCAGGGACCTTAGGGCGCTGCCTTTTTTCTCTATGGTTAGGAGCCACATTGGGGAGGGATTTTATAAGTGTTTACTTTTACCCACTTCTTTTCAGGACTTGTAATTGAATTGATTTCGTTTATTGACTATTGTTTCACAGCGGGGGGGGGGGGGGGGGGGGGGGGGGGGATTTACAATTAGGCAATACTAGGCAGCTGCCTAGCGCCCCAAGTTTTTGGGGGCCCCATAAAACTGTGTACATGTATGGTTATTACAACTATTCCCTATTTTTTTATATGTTTATGATAAAAATCATTTCGCTAAAATGCCATCAGAACGCTGATAATATTAAGTGTGTCTCAGCCCCCCCCTTCAGTGTCCACCATATTGGATCAGTCCATTTGCTGCACATGTTCAGAAAGGTCCAAACAGACAGCAGCAAACCATTTGAAAACAAACCATGCAAAGAGCAGTGTTGCCAACTTAGCGCTTTAGTCGCTATATTTAGCCACTTTTCAGACCCCTCTAGCACTTTGATTTCTAAAAAGCTCCTAGCGCCAAATCTAGAGACTTTTTTCTGCTACTGGAGACTTTGGAGACAACATCTAAAAGCAGCGAACTCTGCTCTCCAGAGCGAGTAGATTGGTAACCCCGCCTCCTGCTCTCCTCTATCTTGTCTGCTGTCATGATTCATGCAGCTATTATTTCATCCAAATGAAAAATGGAGAACAGATAAGCAGATCATGGCTTGTCTACAGTGAAAAGAAGGACTGGGTTATTTACTTTGGCCTTTTTGGAAACACAGGAAGGAGCAATCAGCTAAGTGAGCTTAGTGCTTGGAAACAATCTTTCATTCCTTTAGAGACAGCATGAAAAGTTAGCTGAGTACAAAACATAGAGAGGAAAACAAGAAGAAAAGCCAATCAGGAGAGGAGGAACTTTAACCCTCAGCCAATCAGGAGAGGAGGAACTTTAACCCTCAGCCAATCAGGAGAGGAGGAACTTTGCCCCTCAGCCAATCAGGAGAGGAGGAACGTTAGCCTTCAGCCAATCAGGAGAGGAGGAACTTTAACCCTCAGCCAATCAGGAGAGGAGGAACTTTAACCCTCAGCCAATGAGGAGAGGAGGAACTTTAACCCTCAGCCAATCAAGAGAGGAGGAACTTTATCCCTCAGCCAATCAGGAGAGGAGGAACTTTAATCCTCAGCCAATCAGGAGAGGAGGAACTTTAACCCTCAGCCAATCAAGAGAGGAGGAACTTTGCCCCTCAGCCAATGAGGAGAGGAGGAACTGTAACCCTCAGCCAATCAGGAGAGGAGGAACTTTAACCTTCAGCCAATCAGGGGAGGAGGAACTTTAACCCTCAGCCAATCAGGAGAGGAGGAACTTTAACCCTCAGCCAATCAGGAGAGGAGGAACTTTAACCCTCAGCCAATCAGGAGAGGAGGAACTTTAACCCTCAGCCAATCAGGAGAGGAGGAACTTTAACCCTCAGCCAATCAGGAGAGGAGGATCTTTAACCCTCAGCCAATCAGGAGAGGAGGAACTTTGCCCCTCAGCCAATCAGGAGAGGAGGAACGTTAGCCTTCAGCCAATCAGGAGAGGAGGAACTTTAACCCTCAGCCAATCAGGATAGGAGGAACTTTAGCCTTCAGCCAATCAGGAGAGGAGTAACTTTGCCCCTCAGCCAATCAGGAGAGGAGGAACTTTGCCCCTCAGCCAATCAGGAGAGGAGGAACTTTATCCCTCAGCCAATCAGGAGGAGGAACTTTAACCTTCAGCCAATCAGGAGAGGAGGAACTTTAGCCTTCAGCCAATCAGGAGAGGAGGAACGTTAGCCTTCAGCCAATCAGGAGAGGAGGAACGTTAGCCTTCAGCCAATCAGGAGAGGAGGAACTTTAACCCTCAGCCAATCAGGATAGGAGGAACTTTAGCCTTCAGCCAATCAGGAGAGGAGGAACGTTAGCCTTCAGCCAATCAGGAGAGGAGGAACGTTAGCCTTCAGCCAATCAGGATAGGAGGAACTTTAGCCTTCAGCCAATCAGGAGAGGAGGAACTTTAACCCTCAGCCAATCAGGAGAGGAGGAACTTTATCCCTCAGCCAATCAGGAGGAGGAACTTTAACCTTCAGCCAATCAGGAGAGGAGGAACTTTAGCCTTCAGCCAATCAGGAGAGGAGGAACGTTAGCCTTCAGCCAATCAGGAGAGGAGGAACGTTAGCCTTCAGCCAATCAGGAGAGGAGGAACTTTAACCCTCAGCCAATCAGGAGAGGAGGAACTTTAACCCTCAGCCAATGAGGAGAGGAGGAACTTTAACCCTCAGCCAATCAAGAGAGGAGGAACTTTATCCCTCAGCCAATCAGGAGAGGAGGAACTTTAGCCTTCAGCCAATCAGGAGAGGAGGAACTTTAACCCTCAGCCAATCAGGAGAGGAGGAACTTTAACCCTCAGCCAATCAGGAGAGGAGGAACTTTAACCCTTAGCCAATCAAGAGAGGAGGAACTTTAACCCTCAGCCAATCAGGAGAGGAGGAACTTTGCCCATCAGCCAATCAGGAGAGGAGGAACGTTAGCCTTCAGCCAATCAGGAGAGGAGGAACTTTAACCCTCAGCCAATAAAGAGAGGAGGAACTTTAGCCTTCAGCCAATCAAGAGAGGAGGAACTTTTCCCCTCAGCCAATCAGGAGAGGAGGAACGTTAGCCTTCAGCCAATCAGGAGAGGAGGAACTTTAGCCTTCAGCCAATCAGGAGAGGAGGAACTTTAACGCTTAGCCAATCAAGAGAGGAGGAACTTTAGCCTTCAGCCAATCAGGAGAGGAGGAACTTTAACCCTCAGCCAATCAGGAGAGGAGGAACTTTAACCCTCAGCCAATCAAGAGAGGAGGAACTTTAGCCTTCAGCCAATCAAGAGAAGAGGAGCTTTAACCCTCAGCCAATCAGGAGAGGAGGAACTTTGCCCCTCAGCCAATCAGGAGAGGAGGAACGTTAGCCTTCAGCCAATCAGGAGAGGAGAAACTTTAGCCTTCAGCCAATCAGGAGAGGAGGAACGTTAGCCTTCAGCCAATCAGGAGAGGAGGAACTTTAGCCTTCAGCCAATCAGGAGAGGAGGAACGTTAGCCTTCAGCCAATCAGGAGAGGAGGAACTTTACCCCTCAGCCAATCAAGAGAGGAGGAACTTTACCCCTCAGCCAATCAGGAGAGGAGGAACTTTAACCCTCAGCCAATGAGGAGAGGAGGAACTTTAACCCTCAGCCAATCAGGAGAGGAGGAACTTTGCCCCTCAGCCAATCAGGAGAGGAGGAACTTTACCCCTCAGCCAATCAGGAGAGGAGGAACTTTGCCCCTCAGCCAATCAGGAGAGGAGGAACTTTAACCCTCAGCCAATGAGGAGAGGAGGAACTTTAACCCTCAGCCAATCAAGAGAGGAGGAACTTTATCCCTCAGCCAATCAGGAGAGGAGGAACGTTAGCCTTCAGCCAATCAGGAGAGGAGGATCTTTAACCCTCAGCCAATCAGGAGAGGAGGAACTTTGCCCCTCAGCCAATCAGGAGAGGAGGAACTTTAGCCTTCAGCCAATCAGGAGAGGAGGAACTTTAACCCTCAGCCAATCAGGATAGGAGGAACTTTAGCCTTCAGCCAATCAGGAGAGGAGTAACTTTGCCCCTCAGCCAATCAGGAGAGGAGGAACTTTGCCCCTCAGCCAATCAGGAGAGGAGGAACTTTATCCCTCAGCCAATCAGGAGGAGGAACTTTAACCTTCAGCCAATCAGGAGAGGAGGAACTTTAACCCTCAGCCAATAAAGAGAGGAGGAACTTTAGCCTTCAGCCAATCAAGAGAGGAGGAACTTTTCCCCTCAGCCAATCAGGAGAGGAGGAACGTTAGCCTTCAGCCAATCAGGAGAGGAGGAACTTTAGCCTTCAGCCTATCAGGAGAGGAGGAACTGTATCCCTCAGCCAATCAGGAGAGGAGGAACTTTACCCCTCAGCCAATGAGGAGAGGAGGAACTTTAACCCTTAGCCAATCAAGAGAGGAGGAACTTTAACCCTCAGCCAATCAGGAGAGGAGGAACTTTGCCCATCAGCCAATCAGGAGAGGAGGAACGTTAGCCTTCAACCGATCAGGAGAGGAGGAACTTTAACCCTTAGCCAATCAAGAGAGGAGGAACTTTAGCCTTCAGCCAATCAGGAGAGGAGGAACTTTAACCCTCAGCCAATCAGGAGAGGAGGAACTTTAACCCTCAGCCAATCAAGAGAGGAGGAACTTTAGCCTTCAGCCAATCAAGAGAAGAGGAACTTTAACCCTCAGCCAATCAGGAGAGGAGGAACTTTGCCCCTCAGCCAATCAGGAGAGGAGGAACGTTAGCCTTCAGCCAATCAGGAGAGGAGGAACTTTAGCCTTCAGCCAATCAGGAGAGGAGGAACGTTAGCCTTCAGCCAATCAGGAGAGGAGGAACTTTACCCCTCAGCCAATCAAGAGAGGAGGAACTTTACCCCTCAGCCAATCAGGAGAGGAGGAACTTTAACCTTCAGCCAATCAGGAGAGAAGGAACTTTGCCCCTCAGCCAATCAGGAGAGGAGGAACTTTACCCCTCAGCCAATCAGGAGAGGAGGAACTTTGCCCCTCAGCCAATCAGGACAGGAGGAACTTTAGCCTTCAGCCAATCAGGAGAGGAGGAACTTTAGCCTTCAGCCAATCAGGAGAGGAGGAACTTTAACCCTCAGCCAATCAGGAGAGGAGGAACTTTAGCCTTCAGCCAATCAGGAGAGGAGGAACTTTAGCCTTCAGCCAATCAGCAGAGGAGGAACTTTAACCCTCAGCCAATCAGGAGAGGAGGAACTTTAGCCTTCAGCCAATCAGGAGAGGAGGAACTTTAACCCTCAGCCAATCAGGAGAGGAGGAACTTTGCCCCTCAGCCAATCAGGAGAGGAGGAACTTTGCCCCTCAGCCAATGAGGAGAGGAGGAACTGTAACCCTCAGCCAATCAGGAGAGGAGGAACTTTAACCTTCAGCCAATCAGGGGAGGAGGAACTTTAACCCTTAGCCAATGAAAAGAGGAGGAACTTTAACCCTTAGCCAATGAAGAGAGGAGGAACTGTAACCCTCAGCCAATGAGGAGAGGAGGAACTTTACCCCTCAGCCAATGAGGAGAGGAGGAACTTTACCCCTCAGCCAATCAGGAGAGGAGGAACTTTAACCCTTAGCCAATCAAGAGAGGAGGAACTTTAACCCTCAGCCAATGAGGAGAGGAGGAACTTTACCCCTCAGCCAATGAGGAGAGGAGGAACTTTACCCCTCAGCCAATGAGGAGAGGAGGAACTTTACCCCTCAGCCAATCAGGAGAGGAGGAACTTTAACCCTTAGCCAATCAAGAGAGGAGGAACTTTAACCCTCAGCCAATCAAGAGAGGAGGAACTTTAACCCTTAGCCAATCAAGAGAGGAGGAACTTTAACCCTTAGCCAATCAAGAGAGAAGGAACTTTGCCCCTCAGCCAATCAGGAGAGGAGGAACTTTACCCCTCAGCCAATCAGGAGAGGAGGAACTTTGCCCCTCAGCCAATCAGGAGAGGAGGAACTTTAGCCTTCAGCCAATCAGGAGAGGAGGAACTTTAGCCTTCAGCCAATCAGGAGAGGAGGAACTTTAACCCTCAGCCAATCAGGAGAGGAGGAACTTTAGCCTTCAGCCAATCAGGAGAGGAGGAACTTTAGCCTTCAGCCAATCAGCAGAGGAGGAACTTTAACCCTCAGCCAATCAGGAGAGGAGGAACTTTAACCCTCAGCCAATCAGGAGAGGAGGAACTTTGCGCCTCAGCCAATGAGGAGAGGAGGAACTGTAACCCTCAGCCAATCAGGAGAGGAGGAACTTTAACCTTCAGCCAATCAGGGGAGGAGGAACTTTAACCCTTAGCCAATGAAGAGAGGAGGAACTTTAACCCTTAGCCAATGAAGAGAGGAGGAACTTTAACCCTTAGCCAATCAAGAGAGGAGGAACTTTAACCCTTAGCCAATCAAGAGAGGAGGAACTTTACCCCTCAGCCAATGAGGAGAGGAGGAACTTTAGGCACAGATGAAGGGCACTGAGCCCTACTGATGAACTAGTACTATTCTAGCGTGGTTTGGTTGTGTCTGGCACGGTCCAGTTCAGTTGTGTTCCATTTGAACTCAAGTTATCTCGGTTAACTTGGACCGCTATCAACACGGGTTAAAAAGGGTAGCGTAAACGAGTCCATGCAGAGAAATGTTTATTCTGTTGGTGCCCATTATCTGATGTTTGCAAATGGTCCTGGTGGATTTCGCTGTCTTTCTGCATGTTCTCCCTGACCATGTGTGGGTTCGCCCTGGGTACTCCGGCTTCCTCCCACAGTCCAAAAACATGACTGTTAGCTTAATTAGCTTCTCTAAATTGTCCTTAGGTGGAGTGTGTGTGAATGGTTGGTCCTGTTTGTCTCTGTGTTGCCCTGCGATGGACTGGTCACCTATCCAGGATGGACCCCGCCTCGCGACCCCACTCGGGACGAGCGTGTCAGATAATGGATGGATTTAACTACGTCCTGTTCTAACAACACAGACCTGCTGTTCAATCTGTCACTGGACCTCAGATCATCCGAACCGTCCAAACCTCGACATTTTAGCTGTTCAGTCAGGATGGGTCCGCTCTCAGCTCTGGACGAGACGTGGAGATTGTCGGCCCGTCACACAAAGACAAACTTCAACGGTGTCTCAAACTTCTTTTTATTTTCAATAAAACCATTAAATAAAAAAAAATGTGATATTAACTTTCCAGCCTCAAACACTAAATATTGATGGATCAGTTCTGATCAGGTCCAAACGGACCAACAGGGTTCTAAAAGGGGTAAATGAGGCGTATTGCACAACTTTTTTTTACCAGCTGGTAAAGAACGGACCGTTTATAGCTGGGTTTCTTTTTTACAAAATAAAAGAACTTCAACATTCATGTTTTACTGAAAGAGTGCTGATCGAACAATCAGATGCCAGCAGGACTTTGGGTCACTGCTGCTGGTTCCACTTCATCCACGACTCCGTTCACTACAGGACGTCTGAATATTTACACAAACAGGAAAGAGCTACATGAACTGGCTCCAAGCTGGATTTTCACAATAAAAGCTACTGATTAATTTTTAAGAAAATAAAAGCTAAACAGATTCGGTTTGTTCTGCTGGTTTCCGTGGTAACCCCGTCATCAGCTGGGCGCAGAGGTCATCCTCAGCTCCACGGTGGAACCTCCTCTCCAAACTTGGCGAAGTGAGCAGCGTTTTTGGCCTCGAACAGAACCTGAACAGAACCAAACAGAACATGAGACTGAGTGGGCGGGACCAGTGCTTACAGCCGGGTCAAAATAACAGCAACAGTGCTTAAAAATATATAATTTCTACGGTTTGAACATACTACATCAAACAACAAAAAAATTTTTTACTCTTTGATTCTTTCAAACTAATAGTTTAAATTTTTGATTTTTTTTCTAGACGCTTTAATTTTAAAGAAAACGCTTTAATCTTTGATTTCTATCTACAGAAAGTTTTAATCTTTGATCTTTCGCACCAGTCTGTTCTTCTCTACATGGACCGGCTGTCCAGCACCTTTCAGTGGAGGACCACTAACTCTTGGTCCAGATGTTCCCTCAGCAGCGTCCATCGCCATGGAGAGCTCCTGGACAGCAGGTCTGATTCCAAACCTCTAACTCAGGGGGAACCAGTTAAAAACCAGCGGCGTCCGAATAAAGAAAATCATCAACCAGTAAAGGTCAGGAGACATTTTTAATTATAATCCGTTACTTTAAACAGAATTTAATGCTGAAATAAAATGAGGTTTTTATGCATCCAAGTTTTAGATTAAATGTTTAAATAAAAAAAATATTATATTTTTCCATTTTAAAATCTAAAGTGTTTTTTTAAGTAGAGAACAACAATTGTTCAGTTTGGTATATAGAAATTTTCCTGATTCACATATTTTATAAAACACCTGAACTGACCGTTTATTTTTTTCTTTCTTTTTTATGGCTTAAAGATGCAGTAGGAGACCTTTTCTCACACATGTTTTACCATGTGGCTTGAAGATCTCCCCACAGCCGCTTAGCTAGCAGTGAAATAGAAGGTCTGGAAGTGAAACTAAAGTAAATGTTCCCCGCTACAGTGAGAAATAAATGAATAACCCCAACCAATCACAAAACACGGTCCATTGTACACGATTGGTTCCTGAGACGTCAATCATGGTCATCTTCTTGTCCCTCCCATCTGTGCTCGTACCCTGACACATGAACGAATCGACCCCCCAATGCTGGTGCAGGACGTCATGGCTGGAAGCTAGCCGCTGTTATGCTACATTCACACCTAAAGCAGCAGGAGCAGCAAAAACGCGCGTCCTGCTTCATTTTTGATGCTTGTAGAAATTTAGTTCTGACGCAGCTGAAGCATCTTTGCTGCTCTAGCTGCGCGGTGGTAAAGTGGGTCTGATGCGCGGTGGGTGGAGCTACTCTATCCTTTCTTTACCTGGAACAATGGCAGCTATGTATATCTGCTGTGATCGGTGGGTAAAAAAAAGTTTGAATCTATGTTGAAGTGATTATATCAAAGATTATTTCTCTGTGGGAGCCGCTCAGACCCCCACATACCGGCGCTGCGCTGTCACTGGGAATCCCATTCAACAGCAGCCTCTGGTCTGGTCGCCTCCTTGCGGTTTGCCACGGCGGCTAGAAGGCGTTTTTTCACGCACGTAATCCAAACTGCAGGCAGCAGGATAATAAAAAGCAAACACATTTTGCTGGCAGATTCTACATTTGAAGTTAATTTAGGCGTTAATAAACTGTTTCCGAGGAGTGATCATAGCGCTCTGCATCAGCAGTGCCGTCTGTCTCCTGTGCGAGGCGCCATTCCTGCTGCGGTTTGGAGGCGTGGTCTAAAGGGAGAGACAAGGTCTCCTACGGCACCTTTAATGTTGGCAGTGGGCTTTAGGCTGCCCTGCGAGGCTTTAAACCCGGGTTTAACCGGAGACTAAGCCATTCTCAAGCACATATCAAGGAGCTCCTTTTGAGCCTGGATCCAGATTTATTGTTGATTCTGTTCATGGTGGAGAATCCTGCTTCACAGCAGCAGGTTGAGCCAAACATCCTCTAAATGTGCAGGGTCATCTTTGAGCACGCCATTTCACTTTTCTTTCACCGGTTCACCGCAGTTCTTCCAGCAGTCCACACTTTCTCTGCTCTCTTTTTCTCATGGTCTTCTCCTTCTTTCCCATCGCCCGGCTTGCCACAGGTTTGCCTGCTGTGTCTAAAAGTAGCAGCAGCAGCAACCCAGACTGACAGCTCATTGGCTCATTGGATCACGTGCAGCCTGGAGCCGGACGCTCCCCAGGGCTTTACCGTATTAACAGGAGAAGAGGCGCAAGTGAAATTAGACACTGTCGTCAGACAGCATGCGGTAATATATAAATATTTTAAATCCGGTTGGGTCCGGATTAGCTAGAAAGGGGGGTCCGTATCCTGACCCTGGTCTGCTAATCCGTGACCTTTGCTCTAACTGCAAGACCTGCAACCCAAACCGGTCTCACTGCGGGCCGAGCCTGACTAGAACCTTCTGCTTCCTCAATCATCATTGACGCCTCACCTGGTGGTGGACGTAGGACTCGCACAGGTAGCACCATACGGACAGATCCGAGAAGCTCAGGACCATCGGGTGTTCCAACGTGGCGCCATGTGTCACCATGTGCTCATTGACGTAGCGACCGCAGCACACCTGGAGAGCAGCAGACAAACAGCTGAGGTTATCCTCCACGGCGCCGCCGGCGGCAAGGGGACGGGAGGACCAGCTCACCTGGTAGCAGGTCAGGCAAATCCAGTTCTCGGCGTCGGAACCGCAGTCGCCGCACGGCTGGAAGACGTCTATGCCAGAATGTGGGAGAGGCTTGACAGCATCCAGGTGAGGACACCAGGGCAGGGGGTCCACCACGTACAGAGTGTCCTGCGGAGAGACAGAGGGACGGCTTCACCATCGCATTCCTTAAGCTCATTGCTGACAAGCCGCTTCGTTTTTACTGACTCCGCCCATTTCAGCGCTGCATGTCATCTCCAGAGACACCTGAGGCTTGGACCAACCACAGGCTCCCTCTTCCTCTGGCTCCGCCCCTGAGCCGTCCAAAGGCTCCTCCCCTCTTCCTGACTCCGCCCTTGCTTCAGGGTCGGTCCCTGCTTGGTCCGCCTTCGCTGCTGTCGTCACGCTCTGACAGAAAACAGGAAGTAGTCAGAGTTAAGGGTAGAGATCAGAGAGAACGCAGATGGGATGACTCACCTGAGGCTGCATGCTCTCTGCTGATTGGCTGTTCTCAGTCTTCATGTCACCTTCCACCTTCGCTGCTGCCGCTTCTGGTGGGGTGGAGGAAGGCTTGACCTTGTCCTGATTGGCAGAGGTTTTATGGATGTCTAGACTGGCCAATCCCTGCATGAGCTGCTCCAGACCGTGCTCCGTCTGATTGGATGAGACGAGTCATGTGGCTCTTTACTTGATTTAGCAGGAAATCACTTATTTTAACCAGATTGTTACCATAGAGACCTGTCCAACACAGGGTGGCTTTTCTGACTTCCTGCCTTGAGAGCTACGTTTCCCACGATGCTTTGGGGAGGGCACGGCTTCCTGCACAGACTCTGGAACTGTAAGGAGAACAATTACATCAATTAGACAGAAACCAAAGTTTTTACCAAGTCCCGATTCAGTCCAGGTCCCAAACCCACCCTGGATCCTCAAGGACCGCCAGTAGGGGAGGTGCTGTCGGATAACTTCCCTGATTGTTGCCACGGCGCAGTGATGAGGAGGGGGGAGGGGCGTCACCAGCGATGGAGGAGGGTCTCCTAGCAACACGCTGGTGCACATCGCCATGGAGTCAGAGATTGATGTCAGGTTATAACCTCCCTGAGGAGACAAAGATGGCCAATCAGGAGAGGAGGAACTTTAAGCCTCATCCAATCAGGGGAGGAGGAACTTTAAGCCTCATCCAATCAGGGGAGGAGGAACTTTAAGCCTCATCCAATCAGGGGAGGAGGAACTTTAAGCCTCATCCAATCAGGGGAGGAGGAACTTTAAGCCTCAGCCAATCAAGGGAGGAGGAACTTTAACCCTCATCCAATCAGGGGAGGAGGAACTTTAAGCCTCAGCCAATCAAGGGAGGAGGAACTTTACCCCTCAGCCAATCAAGGGAGGAGGAACTTTACCCCTCAGCCAATCAAGGGAGGAGGAACTTTAACCCTCAGCCAATCAAGGGAGGAGGAACTTTAACCCTCATCCAATCAGGGGAGGAGGAACTTTAACCCTCAGCCAATCAAGGGAGGAGGAACTTTAACCCTCATCCAATCAGGGGAGGAGGAACTTTAACCCTCAGCCAATCAAGGGAGGAGGAACTTTAACCCTCATCCAATCAAGGGAGGAGGAACTTTAACCCTCATCCAATCAAGGGAGGAGGAACTTTAACCCTCAGCCAATCAAGGGAGGAGGAACTTTAACCCTCAGCCAATCAAGGGAGGAGGAACTTTAACCCTCATCCAATCAGGGGAGGAGGAACTTTAAGCCTCAGCCAATCAAGGGAGGAGGAACTTTAACCCTCAGCCAATCAAGGGAGGAGGAACTTTACCCCTCAGCCAATCAAGGGAGGAGGAACTTTAACCCTCAGCCAATCAAGGGAGGAGGAACTTTAACCCTCAGCCAATCAAGGGAGGAGGAACTTTAACCCTCAGCCAATCAAGGGAGGAGGAACTTTACCCCTCAGCCAATCAGGAGAGGAGGAACTTTAACCCTCAGCCAATCAAGGGAGGAGGAACTTTAACCCTCAGCCAATCAAGGGAGGAGGAACTTTACCCCTCAGCCAATCAGGAGAGGAGGAACTTTAACCCTCAGCCAATCAGGGGAGGAGGAACTTTAACCCTCAGCCAATCAGGAGAGGAGGAACTTTAACCCTCAGCCAATCAGGGGAGGAGGAGCATTCGCCCTGATCTAAACTCGCCTCCAGGATGACGAGGACTCGTCCCCCAGCCAGTGACATCATCATGTGTGTGAGGTGGGCGTATCCTTCTGGAGACACGTTATATCCTCCCAGAGGATCTCCTCGAGCTGCGTCAAACCCAGCGGACACCAGAACCAGACCAGGGTTAAACTGCAGAGGAAGAAAACAACCAGTTAGTAGATGACTAAGCAGAAGACAGCCAATCAGAGGACTTCAAACTCTATTCAGGTAGATCTATGGTTTATTTCAGATGAACTGGTTCCTAATCCCCACAGTTCTGTGATGGTTCATAGCAGACCTACTTCAGTGGCAATCGGCATGACGACATGATGAAAGGCTGCTAGGTAGTCTGAGTCGCCCATTCGTCCTCCGCTCCACGCCACGTTCACATTGTAACCTGAACCCTTGGCCACGCCCACCCTATAAGGGGCAGCGTCTTCAGAGAACGGGAAGAACGTCCCGTTGTCATAGCGATGGAGTGAGATGTAAAGAACGCTGCAGAAACAAACAGAGCCCACCATCAGATTCACGTCACCATGCCCCCCCCCCCATTGCTCTCCTTCCTCACCTATCATCATCTTCAAACATGTGCTGAGTCCCGTTGCCGTGGTGAACGTCCCAGTCGAGGATCAGGATCCGCAGCTGAGAATCCTGGGAGTTTTTCTGAGCGTAGCGAGCAGTGAGTGCTGCCGTGTTGAAGAGGCAGAAACCGCAGGGAACATCTCTTTCGGCGTGGTGACCCGGAGGACGGACGATGGCCACGCAGTTCCTCACCTGCAGTACGACAGACAGCCAGCAGGTGGCAGACCAGGCCTGTTATATCCAACAACATCCTGAAGATAACATGATAACACAGCCATAAGCTTAACATTAGCCTTTTAACTCCTTATAGACGAGACTGCTGGTTGGTTTCATCTGAAAATTAGCTTAGCCTAGCTTAAGAGTGCTGTAAACCTGGTGTTCTTATGCTTTAAACAACAGGCTGTTAGCCTACTGTTAGCCATCAGGCATGTTTGTAATGTTTTCATTTTCTGTTTACTAGCTTGTTAGCTATCCTTTGCCTTAGCGCAGACTATTGCTACCTGGTAATTAGCTGTGGTCTGTTTTTAATCTAGAGTCTGCTTGTTCTACTGTCCAACCCTCCGCCCTAACCCCTCAGTCACTATAGAGCAGGGACTATATAGTGGACTCAGTTAACTGACCTTTAGGACAGATGATCACTACTTTTCACTCCCCATTGGTCACGTTATCCGACCGCCCCGTGCCTGTGCCATTTTGGTCCCTTCTTGCTGCCACAACAAATCCCATGATGCTTTACGAGGAAAGCACTCGCAAAGCCTTCTGGGATATGTCTGCTCCTTTAGTGACTACGGATGATCACTACTTTTCAAGATGGAAATTTCTATTCCACAACTTTTTCATCCAATAGATCAGGGCTGGGCGACCTAAACTGTTCAAATATTACATACAAAAAACAAAAACATCTGTCTGAAGCCGAGAAATTGTATAAGTCTGATAAGGGCTCTAAGTGTATATTAGCCCACTATCAAAATGACTAAGTAGAACAATTATATATAAAAATTCAATTATGGCGGTGCCTACAAGCAGCGGCATATTACAGCAATATGCCGCCTACGGACTGCAAACAGATTCCCTACAAACTAATCAAAGATCCTGTTAGGGTTAGGCATGTTGCCAGTCTGTTGTCAGCCTGTTTGCAGGCTGTTGCCAGCCTGTTGCCAGCCTGTTGCCAATCTGTTTGCAGTCTGTTGCCAGCCTGTTGCCAGCCTGTTTGCAGGCTGTTGCCAATCTGTTTGCAGCCTGTTGCAAGGCTGTTGCCACTCTGTTATCAGTCTGTTGCCAGTCTGTTGCCAGCCGGTTTGCAGTCTGTTGCCAGCCTGTTTGCAGGCTGTTGCCAATCTGTTTGCAGGCTGTTGCCAATCTGTTTGCAGGCTGTTGCCAATCTGTTTGCAGCCTGTTGCCAGGCTGTTGCCAGTCTGTTTGCAGGTTGTTTCCAGCCTGTTTGCAGGCTGTTGCCAATCTGTTTGCAGCCTGTTGCAAGGCTGTTGCCAGTCTGTTGCCAGTCTGTTGGCAGCCTGTTGCCAGTCTGTTTGCAGCCTGTTGCCAGTCTGTCTGCAGCCTGTTGCCAGTCTGTCTGCAGGCTGTTGCCAGTCTGTTTGCAGCTTTTTGCCAGTCTGTGTAAAGCCTGTTGTCAGTCTGTTTGCAGGCTGTTATCATTTTTCTAGTCTGTTAGTACAGACTAAGCTTTTAGTAGTGTGTCACTACAGTCCAATTCTGGTGTTGCCAACATTGGTGCCTCTAGTGAAGCTCCGATGTTTTAGGGGCGGTGATCCGCTGGTTTAAGGTTGATCCGTTTTTAAACGGCAGACATGTTTTTCTCCGTCCTCCTACCTGGCCAGTCAGGATGCTGTCCACAGCATTGAAGCAGCTTCCAGCAGCCATCTGGGCGCACTGGAAGCTCTGGTTACAGAGGAAGATGGAGGTGAAGTTGTCTCCTAGCTTGTGAAGGTCTCGGGGCTTCATCTCCGTCGTCGCCTTCATCTGCTCGATATGCCGCAAACTGAAACAGACACCGCATTACACTGGGGGGCTGTTGGTCCGGAGACACACACCTGCCACCTTCTCACCTGTGACACATGGCCAGCTCCTCCTCTGTTGCCAGGCGTGCCTGTATCCGATGGCAACGATCAACCAATCCCAGCTGCTGGTGTCTAGAGAAGATCTTAAAGGTCCTCTGAGGCTGTTCAGGGTGATGTCTGCGACAGGTCACATGTTGATTACGACACGCCAACATCAGGAGCCATGTTCTGTCAGCGAGCGGCGGACTCACCTGTCCCACAGGTTCACATGCTCCATCATCTTCTCATCGTAAACCAGCCCTGTCGTCTTGGTAAAAGACGTGTCCACGGAGGCTGGCTTTGGGCCACTGTGATTGGCTGCGGTTCTGGCGCCACGCCCCTCGGTCACGGATCCAGCTAGAACCTGCAGCGAGGCCCAGTATGGGTACAGAGCGGAGACGGTCTGGGAGATGGAGTGCAGGGCGCTGGGACACAGAGGACAGGAGTCAACAGTCGACACAAACTGGGAGCTCTGGGTGCTGCTGGTGTTTGCTTTACCTGTCAGAGAGAGCAGTGGGCGGGTTCAGAGGAGGACAGGCTCCGCCCAGCAGAGCCCTGACACAGGCTGCTACTCCCTCTGCTGTGGCCTGCAGGTTATACCCCCCCTGCACAGAAACACGGCTTCAGCCTCAAGCGTTTGACATGTTTTCATTCACCGTCTGGATGATTTACCTCTAGAGCCAGGACGAGTCGCCCTTCCGCCAAACTCATCAACATGTGGGTCAGGATGTGGAAACACTGAGGACTCACGCACATCTCCCCCTGAATACACACACACACACACAGTGAGTCTGAGACGGTCAGCCCGCAGGGCGGGGCGGGGGCGGGGCCACCCCAGCTCTGTGTAGCTTTACCTTCGGGTCTCCGGCTGCAGCGTCGAATCCGGCTGAGACCAGAACCAGCTGAGGCTGAAACTGCAAACACAGACGGGTTACTGCAGGATGACGCCAGGCCGGCGCCTGCTCTGAAAGGGGGGGGGGGTTTACCTCAGAGGCGACGGGGAGCAGCACCTGCTGGAACGCAGCGATGTAATCAGCGTCACTCAGACCCGTCTGACAGACAAACACAAACAGGAAGGAGAATCAGAACCGGCAAACACAGGAACGATTGCTTTCTGTTCAGGACCAGGAGAGACACGCCCGGAAGGATCCAGCTCTGATGGAGACGAAGCTACGACTTTAAGTCGGTGGGAAATCTAGTCTTCTTTGTCCAAAATGTGAACATTCTGGTCCTCAGGGGACATTCTTTCCACCCCCATTCCAAAGGGGGGGACCCGTTCATCCGTTTCTATTTGCATGTTTTCTAAACTAAAACCAGGCTTTGTTGGGCTGCTGGATAAAACCTGGAACTAAACGCTATTTCTGACATTTTAAAATGAAAAATCTTCCTGGATGGAAGAGAAACGTCTTCAAACTTGGAATCAAAGTCCAGAGGATTTTTTTTAAACTTTTTCTGAGTTACAGGGAGGAGTTCTGCTTCTGGAGGAGGACTCACCTCGTTCCAAGGCAGGTTGATGTTCCTGCCTTCAGCTCGCCCGCTGCCCACGAAGCTGCAGTCTGACTCTGGCAGGTGAGGCCAGAAGGCCCCCCCCTCATAGCGGTGGAGGCTGAAGTACAGGACGCTGAAAGACACACAGGAAAAACGGCCCAGGTCCAGAGTTAGTTGGCCTTATTTGGAAATGTTTTACTGCAAGCTTCCCTCCTTCCTGTCAATTTATGTGATTGTCAGAATGTTTAGTGGATATAAATGTAGTGGGCACTAAATTTCCCACAATGCACCTTGAAAAGTAGGGATTATCCATGGTCACTACACAAGCAGACATATCCCAGAATGCTTTGCAAGAGCTCTCCTTACACAGCATCAGGGGATTTGTTTTGGGGGCAAGAAACAACAAAGATGGCGCAGACATCGTGGGGGAGGCACATGACAGGAGGTGAAATGCAGCTTCAGACGTTTTGGCTTAGATCTCAGATAACAAGGAACGAATGAGCAGACCGCCTCATTCCTTACAGTCAGCCTCTGTAATCAGGAAATTTCAGACATTTCTAAAAATCCTAGCTATCCTTCCGTGCCGCACGATTTCCAGTGATGATTCTGCTCAGCACTGGGATGAACCTCAACGTCTGTCGTTGTTTCCTTCTTCTGGAAGCCCTGATTAGATTATCGTTTGGCATATCCACCTCCCAAAAGCCGACTCTGTCAAGTAAATTCACCAAAGGCTGCCTTCTTCACCTGACTCTCTGCAAACTGCCTGAATGTTACGGGCGCGGCCATGTTGGTTTGCTTGTTTCCCTCTAGAGAGCAGCAGTACTGTAGATCGTCACTAGGAGGCGAGGAACCGTGCTAGAGTGGCGTGTAAAGACACAGTGGATGGATGGATGGATGGATGGATGGATGGATGGATGGATGGATGGATGGATGGATGGATGGATGGATGGATGGATGGATGAACTTTAAACTCAAAAATATAAATTCCAATTTATATTTTTTTTCTTTGAAAGGCCCTTGTCGTAACACAGCTGGTTTTATGACTAACTGGTATTTTTCTCTCCTGTGTTTTTCCTTTGTTTTCAGCTCAGCTGTTTCCTGCCAAACAGCTGGAAGAGCTCGTTAATGCTCACCGCTCGTTAGCATCCCTGCATCCAGCAGCAATCATTCAGTGACAGTTTTACTGTGAGCGTTGAGGGATGGATAATTGAATAACAGAACCGGTGGTTAAACATTCAGCCTTTCTGGGGGGGTGGGAGGGGCTGTTTACCTGGGATCCTCCTGGAACAGATACTGGATACCCTGACCATGATGGACGTCCCAGTCCACGATCAGAACCCTATCAAATAAAAAACACATCCCACACATTACAACACAGATAAACCTCATGAAGACGTTTTGAGAATAAGAGCATCACTTGAAGAGTTTCAGAATAAGAGCATGCGCAACTTCAGGCTTTTTGTTATTGTAAAGGTTCGGTATGGTTCTGTTTGGGTCGGTAAACTCTCTCCTAAAGTCCATTACATTCTCAAATCATCCAGCAGGAGGCGCTGCTGCTAAGTGTGAGTGCAGGCCTACCTGTTGACAGAGTGGCGTCTCTGGGCGTATCGGGCTGCGATCGCCACGCTGTTGAACACACAGAACCCGTTGGGCTGGTCGGCCTGAGCGTGGTGACCTGGAGGTCTGACAGCAGCAGGAGGAGAAGAAGAAGAGACGTCAGGCCTGTCTTCTGGGTCGGGAGACGGGAACAGGTGCTGCTAGCCTTACCTGATGACAGCGAATCCATTCCTGAGTTCAGAGGTCAGAACCCGGTCCACCAGCTGCAGGACCGACCCAACAGCTGTCGCACACACCTGGAATGACTCCTGAAACAAAGACACACCTTCTGATCCTTTAGGAGCTCCGTCAGCTTCAGTCTGCAGGTCAAACAGCAGCCATGTTTCTGATAGTTACCATGGTGACAGAGACAGGCAACATATAGTTACCACGGTGACAGGGAAGGGTGAAATATGGTCGCCACAGTAACTGAGACAATTAAGGTTACCACGGTGACAGTGCTGGCAAAAAAGGTTTCCATGGTGACAGGGAAGGGTGAAATATGGTTACCATGGTGACAGAGAGGGGTGAAATAATGTTACCATGGTGACAGAGAGGGGTGAAATATGGTTACCATGGTGACAGAGAGGGGTGAAATAATGTTACCATGGTGACAGAGAGGGGTGAAATAATGTTACCATGGTGACAGAGAGGGGTGAAATATGGTCACCATGGTGACAGAGAGGGGTGAAATATGGTCACCACAGTAACTGAGACAATTAAGGTTACCACGGTGACAGTGCTGGCAAAAAAGGTTTCCATGGTGACAGGGAAGGGTGAAATATGGTTACCATGGTGACAGAGAGGGGTGAAATAATGTTACCATGGTGACAGAGAGGGGTGAAATATGGTTACCACGGTGACAGTGCTGGCAAAAAAAGGTTTCCATGGTGACAGGGAAGGGTGAAATAATGTTACCATGGTGACAGAGAGGGGTGAAATATGGTCACCATGGTGACAGAGAGGGGTGAAATAATGTTACCATGTTGACAGAGAGGGGTGAAATAATGTTACCATGGTGACAGAGAGGGGTGAAATATGGTTACCATGGTGACAGAGAGGGGTGAAATAATGTTACCATGTTGACAGAGAGGGGTGAAATATGGTTACCATGGTGACAGAGAGGGGTGAAATAATGTTACCATGGTGACAGAGAGGGGTGAAATAATGTTACCATGGTGACAGAGAGGGGTGAAATATGGTCACCACAGTAACTGAGACAATTAAGGTTACCACGGTGACAGTGCTGGCAAAAAAGGTTTCCATGGTGACAGGGAAGGGTGAAATATGGTTACCATGGTGACAGAGAGGGGTGAAATAATGTTACCATGGTGACAGAGAGGGGTGAAATATGGTTACCATGGTGACAGAGAGGGGTGAAATAATGTTACCATGGTGACAGAGAGGGGTGAAATATGGTTACCACGGTGACAGTGCTGGCAAAAAAGGTTTCCATGGTGACAGGGAAGGGTGAAATAATGTTACCATGGTGACAGAGAGGGGTGAAATATGGTCACCATGGTGACAGAGAGGGGTGAAATATGGTCACCACAGTAACTGAGACAATTAAGGTTACCATGGTGACACTGCTGGTAAAATATGGTTACCATGGTGACAGGGAAGGGTGAGAATATTGTTACCATTGTGACAGAGAGGGACAAAGATATGGTTACCATGGTGACAGAGAGGGGTGAAATATGGTCACCACAGTAACTGAGACAATTAAGGTTACCATGGTGACAAACAGCTAAACCTGAGGTTGTGATGGTGACCGGTTACCTTGCAGACGTTCCCACCTCAGACATGAAGGAAGAAATATTAATGGACTCACTTTGATGGTAAAACACGTTTCTGTGTGTTTTGGTATCAGAGCGAGGTCCTTTTTCTGGTCCTCTCTTCCTTCTTGCCAGCAGGTTTTAGTGTGAATTGATTTTAGGTTCAGGTTTGGGGTTAAAAATGACTAACTGAATGAATCTAAAGACATGGTCCTCACTAGGTATAGAAAGATGAGAATGAGTGTGTTCCTACCGGATGGAGGTAGACTGAGTCGTATCTTTCAGACAGACTCTGCAGCTCAGCCTGGGTCATCTTCTGAGTCTCCTTCATGGCGTCTACGTAGAGTTTCCTGCCGTCACCCAAAGATCATCAGCATCATGTAAACGCAAACAGGAAGTCAAACTACCTGCGCTCTGATTGGAGGACTTACGTGTGAGCTAGCAGCAGCTCGTCCTCTGTAGCTTCTCTGGGCTGAAACAAGAAGACAGTGAGGTTAGTGGTTCTGGTTCAGCAGATGTTCCGGTCCCTCAGATCCAGACTGACCTCCACGCTGACGCAGACATCCAGCAGCTCCTGCCTCTGCAGCTCCGACATGATGGACGTCACTCTGCTGGGACTCTCTACATGGCTGGAAAATAACAACCAATCAGACAATCGCTGGGATGATCAGAGCCATAAATCCCTGATTGAAACGAAGTGGAGCTGAGCAGAACGTCAGCAGCTGAAGCTACCTCAGATCCCACAGGTTCTGATGATGCGTGAAGATCTGTGAGTAAACCAGACCGGTCCCGCTGGCTGCAGACCTGCTGGACAGATCCTGGAATCACACAGAGATCAGCTCCCAGCATGAAGAACCCCCCCCCCTCCACCACCAGGTGTTCACATCGACTCCTCGCAGTCTCACCAGCGTCTTCAGCCTGCCGCTCAGCTCCTCCTCTCTGCTCCTCTCCATCCTTCCTCTCCTCTTCGCCTCCTGCAGGCTGTTTCCTCCTTTCTGCTTCTCGGCGTCGGCCTGAGGTCACAGGAGCCGCAGGTAAACACAGCTGAGCTCCAGCCTCACCTGCAGCGGACTGAGCAGCAGCTGCAGCTCCTTAGCTGTGGTGGATCATTAACTGGGAGGTTCTCTGCGTTCAGACTAATCTCTGACCCCGGGTCAAACTTTAACATCACACCTGTTTAACACGCAGTGAGGACGACTTCATGTGACCTCTCTGTGTGGCGTTTACATGTCTACAGACACACCCTGCTCAAAGTCCACCAGAACCAGGACTACAGAACCTGTTCTAACCAGGATCCACAACCAGAGGTCTGACTTTGGAACAAACAGTAAAACTAGTGATGAGTTGAGATGAGCCGAGGCTTCGAGGCATGTCGAGGCGTGATTCATTCAGGGGAGGGGCCAAAATTCATGAGGTCTGAGGCCTCGCTACCGTGAAACCACGTGACCGCTTAGCGAAGTGGTTAGGGATGCGCAAGAATTTTGACAGGCATCTAAACAGCCTCAGTGTTCAGTCAAGATGTGGGAGTTTGGAGGAGAGCTGCTCTCAGCTGGATAGATTCTAAGAATAGATTGGTTGTTTTTCCAACCAATCTAGTTGGTTAAAACTAGTTTGGTTAGAATAAACAATGTAAAGATCAAAATCTGAGGAAACCACCGGAAAAAGTCAGTGTTAACACGTTACTATTAACTACTATTTTCCTCCCTAATACGGTTATTTATATAGGCGGCGTCATCTGTAAGAGGCAGGCTCTCACTCTAGAGGTTGACAGTTCAACACCTGTCTTTGACTTTTGAAAGTTGCGATTAAACTTAATTATTTTGGCTGATGGGACTAATTTGCATTGTTTTGCCCGAGTAAAAATATAGATTGGATAAATTAGGTCGGTTTAGCCAAAAGATTGATTGAACACAACTTCCAGCCTGATTAAAACCAAAAAAAACGTGGAAAAACGATCATGTTTGGATAAAAACGATTAACACCTTTAATTTTGCTCATCATTGCCCAATTTGCACAAACACTTTCACTGATTGAGTTTATTTCACTAAAATGGCAGAAAAACTGTGAACCTTAAATGATTCTTCTAAGAAATTTTTCACTTATTACTGATTTTATTATAAACACCAACCATTAACAATTTCAAAGAAACCTAAAAGGGGAAAAAAACTCACAGATTTTATTACAAACTGTAGTTCTGCTGTCAACCAGTAGGTGGTGACATATTCACATGAAGCCTCATGAACTGTGGGGATCGTTGAAGCAATTTGGCCAAACGGTTCAATGAGGCTTCATCTCAGCATCACTAAGTAAAACTAAACCAGAACCAGAACCAAAGCATCACAGTTTAGTTCTTCAACGGAAAGTTTATTAAAGACAAAACCAGAACCTGGAAGATCTGCTGCTTCCTGCTGCTGGTTACTATCTGCTTCAGGATAGTTATGGTTATATTTAGTTAGGTTCTGGTTGGTTGTGTTCTGGTTATCTCCTGGAAATGTTTGGTTATGTTATTGTTATGATTGGTTGTGTTGTAATTAGTTTGCGTTTGGAAAAGTTAGCTATCTTCTGGATATGATTAGCTTTGCTCCATTTAAAGTTGGTTATGTTCTGGTTATGGTTAATTATACTGTGATTATGTTTAGTTATCTGCTGGATGTGACTAGTTATGTTGTGTTTATGGTTGTTTATATTCTGGTTGTTTGTAAACTTGTTTATGATTAGTTATACTGTGATTATGTTTAGTTATAATCTGGTTATGGTTAATTATACTGTGATTATGTTTAGTTATGCTCTGGATATGACTAGTTATGTTCTGTTTATGGTTGATTGTGTTCTGGCTGTTTGTAATCTGGTTATGTTTAGTTATATTCTGGTTATGGTTAGTTCTATTGTGGGTAGTTGGTTATCTGGGTTAGGGCAGGGAAACTGTTAAAAATGACTGGAAAATCAATGCATGTTCCTCACTACATATAGAAAGATTAGAATGTGTGTGTGTTACCTGTGGCAACAGGCGAGGAGACCTTCTGGATGGTTTGATTCCGGGAGGATCTGATCCAGCTGACATCGCTGATCCACCTGAAGCAGAACAAAACCACCAAGACATTCAGGGACTGAGTTCTGGTTCTGGACCAGGGTCTGGCTGCCTCTGCTGGATCAGAACCAGCTGTGGATCATCAGACCCATTCATTTCACAGGAATGGAGCAGAACCTTAGAGGAACATCAAACTCCATGCTGGAAGGAACCAGAACCAGTTCAGATAAAAGACCAGAACCAGAAAGTCCGATCATCTCATCTCTGCGCAGAACCAGAACCCAGATTAAACTACAGCTCCGGAACCAGAACAGCCGCTGTCACACATGAACTGAGTCTGGAGGTTCTGTTTCTGGGTCACTAAGCAGAACCACCGGAACCAGGTTTGGATCTGAAAATGCTTTTAGATGTTCTGGAATGTTCTGGAAGCTGTTAGCAAAGAAACGACAAAGATCATTCTGTGGATTCTGACTCCGGTTCTGTTCGTTTGATCCAACTGGACCTGTTTACACTGCATACATATAGAACCAGAACCGGAACTGACTGGTTTACCTGCTTTAGCTTCTTCTGGAACAAAAAAAAAAAAAAACTCAGAACTTTTTGCAGGTTTCCAGTTCCTGAAAACATCTAAATACCGAATCCATGGAGTCCCTCCCCGGTTCTGTTTGTTTGAGCGCCAATGAACACTGTCATTGGCGCGTTTAGATGACGTAACACGGCAAAAGACGTCGTGTTTCCGTTATTGGCTGCTGTTGAGCTAAACGATACGTCACTTCAGTCGCCATCTTGGACAGGGAAGCCGCCTATAAATGCAGACGGTTCCGGCTGAGTGCCATACAGATTATTAATAAGGATAAAAGTTTAATAGAATAAAATAGAAAATCCCTTTATTGTCCCACAATGGGGAAATTCTGTTGTTTACAGAAGTAAAGATTATAGAAAAAAAATTATAAGAATAACATAATAGTGAAGAGTTAAAATATATTAAATACTGTACTGTTAACTATTTTGACAATATAAAAACTGTGCACCTGGAGAATAAATAACCAATATGCAGCTATGGACATTTTTGCAGTAATGGATATTTGAAAATAGAAGCAACATCAGAGATGTGCAGAATGACAGCAGCAGGTTATTTAACTGACTAAGGTAGAAACTGAGCAGAATCAGCATGAATGGAAGAACTGATTGAGTTTGTTGGAAACAGTGGTGGTTCTAGAGTCTTCCAGCTGCTGGGAGGAAGGATCTGTGATAACGCTCCCTGGTGCATTTAAGGGGGGAGCAGTCTGTTAGCTCTCCAGTTGATTGCTGGTTACAATCTTATAGCTTCTTATTATAATTTTTTCACTATTGCTATTCTAATACACTTTATTAAAGTGAGAATAAATGATCTGAATTTATAATCTCATTATATGTTTTGATAGATAATATGTCATTCTCGTTGATAAGTAAAAACTAGTTGCACATAAGAGTAATATGAGACAATGATGATTATTATTTTTTTTATTATTTCTTTACATGTCTTTACTTATCTGGTATTAGAACACCTTACAGGTTGATGATCCTAACTTTCCTTTCCTCCAGGATGCTGTTTAAATACCCAGATAAATCATGTAGGAAACAGCCTCAGCTGGTACAAAACCGAAACAGGAAATACACTGCAAAAATGTCTGAAAATGAGCAAACATTTCTTAAAATAAGTCTATTTGACCCTTAATTGGATTGGGTTAATAAGCTCATCAGCCAACCAGAAACCACTCTAGGAAGCCTGTCTATGATCCAGTCTGAAACCTGTCTAGGGATCAGTATGGGAACCTGTCAAGGAACCAGTCTAGGAAACAATACAGGAACCAGTCTAGAAAGACTGTCTAGGAACCAGTCTAGGAACCTGTCTAGAAAGTCTGTCTAGGAACCTGTCTAGGAACTAGTATAGGATCCAGTCTAGGAATCAGTCTAGGAAGCAGTCTAGGAACCAGCATAGGAAGCAGTCTAGCAAACCAGTATGGGAACCAGTCTAGGAACCAGTCTAGGAACCAGTCTCTGGATCAGTGTGGGAAACGATCTAGGAACCCGGACTGTCCTGCAGATCAGAGCGTGGTGTGAGGAGGGCTTCTGCAGCAGTTTGTTCAGATGAAGAAATGAGACAAAATCCACAATCCTTAAGAAAACATAATCAGCTTTATTTGAACAGGACCAACAGAAACAGAGAGATCAGGACTCCACGCATCACTTCCTGTTAGACGGGAACAGAAACAGAGTGTCTGATCAGGACTCCACGCATCACTTCCTGTTAGACGGGAACAGAAAGCAGAGGACTTGGCGAGCTGAAGGACAAACAGACATTTTATAAACAAAAGGTGGAGCTTTCCGATTGGCTGTTTCTACTGAATGAATCGGCCAATCCGGTGTCAGATTGGACTCATCCGGTGAGTCCAGCTGATCTCAGACCAGAACCACAACAAGGAACCAGCACCACAGAACCTCTGTGGTCCAGGGTTCTGTAAAATGTTTCAATAACCTGATTATTTAGCTGCCCTTGTTCTCAGCTCTAGAACCTACAGCCTGAAGACCTGAGCAGAAATGGATGGGTCCTTTTTAGGGATTGGACCAGAGTTTATAGAACCAAACCAGAACTTCTGCTTTAAAGCTGCCTGCTGGCACCAGAACCTTGGAGTGTCTGTGTCTTCTGGTGGTTCTGAAATATCTAAAATGATGTAAGGAAACCAGAACAAGATGAGAACCGTCCAATCCAGATTGGTTCTGGATCTTTAGTAAATGAAAACAGTTTTGGACCCGGCTGTAACCAGTCCCCCTCCAGCTGATGGTCCGACCGTCCAGCTGTCTACCTGTCCTTGGCAGAACGCAGGTCACTGGTGATCGGGTCGTGCTGGATGGTTTGGTGCAGCATCAGCGCCAGCAACCCGGCCCGGTTGGTCATGGCTGTCCTCAGGTTCCTCTCCTGCTCAAACAGCTCATCAAGCTTGTACCACTGATGGAGAGGAGGACAGGAGACGTAGTTAGAGGAGCTCAGTCACAGCTGTGGTCTTAACGAGCTGTTAGACCTTAACGAGCTTTTTAACCTTAACGAGCTGTTAAACCTTAACGAGCTGTTAAACCATAACGAGCTGTTAAACCATAATGAGGTATTAAACCTTAACGAGCTTTTTAACCTTTACTAGCTGTTAAACCTTAACGAGTTGTTAAACCTTAATAAGTTGTTAAACCTTAACGAGCTGTTAGACCTTAACGAGCTTTTTAACCTTAACGAGCTGTTAAACCTTAACGAGCTGTTAAACCATAACGAGCTGTTAAACCATAATGAGGTATTAAACCTTAACGAGCTTTTTAACCTTTACTAGCTGTTAAACCTTAACGAGTTGTTAAACCTTAATAAGTTGTTAAACCTTAACGAGCTGTTAGACCTTAACGAGCTTTTTAACCTTAACGAGCTGTTAAACCTTAACGAGCTGTTAAACCATAATGAGCTGTTAAACCATAATGAGGTATTAAACCTTAACGAGCTTTTTAACCTTTACTAGCTGTTAAACCTTAACGAGTTGTTAAACCTTAATAAGTTGTTAAACCTTAACGAGCTGTTAGACCTTAACGAGCTTTTTAACCTTAACGAGTTGTTAAACCTTAACGAGCTGTTAGACCTTAACGAACTTTTTAACCTTAACGGGCTGTTAGACCTTAACAAGCTGTTAGACCTTAACGGGTTTTTAAACCTTAACGAGCTGTTAAACTATACCAAGGTATTAGACCTCAACAAGCTATTTGACCTTAACGAGCTGTTAGACCTAAACGAGTTTTTTAACTTTAACGAGTTGTTAAAGCTTAACGAGCTGTTAGACCTTAACGAGCTGTTAAACCTTAACAAGCTGTTAAACCTTAACAAGCTGTTTAACCTTAACGAGTTGTTAACTTTTAACTAGCTTTTTAAATCTCAACGAGGTGAAAAAGCTTGTTAAGGTTTACAGAGATTTTTTTTACCTCAATGAGGTATTAGACCTTAACGAGCTGCTAAACATTAACGAGCTATTAGACCTTAACGAGCGGTCAACGAGTTAACAAGTTGAAGAACCTCGATGAGCTTTCAGACCTGTATCACCATAATCTGATCTGTTTAACTGAACCGGATCTGGAATCCATCCGTGTCATCTAGACTTACCACTCGGACTCTCTCCAGGTCGACCTCGGCCCGCCGCAGCTTCTCCCAGCAGTAATGTTTGTTGCATTTTCTTTTGGAAACCCGGCAGAACTCTCCAGTGGGTTCGAAGACATCTTTGACCAGAGGACATCCACACACCTCATCTGCTGGGACCTGAAACATCAGACACCTTCTGGGTCACTCGTCCTCACAGGGACTAAGCTGTGGTTTCAGATTACAACCCTTGGTACTGATCCGGTTCATAATACTAACTGCTAGTTTGAACAAATTCAAGCTGAGCATAGAGGAGGTCTCTGGGCCTCTCCTGATTGGTGGACTGGTCTAACTCTTCATTATAGAGAACTCCTAGGGTTCCTCTGGACCAAAGGTCATTTCAGAATTTCTAATGGTTGCGTAAAATGGTGGGAAGAGCGGATCAGAGCTGTTGTTGAGAGGAACCAGTAGAAATACTGAAGGTCATTGGCTGCTCCCAGGAAGTGGAACCAGTTTCAACAGGAGTCAGAGTTTTATCAGAAGAGCAGACAAACACTTTTAACGCTTAAATGTAGATATTTCAACAAAACAAAAAAATAAATGAATTTTCATTACATAATTACATCGTATTTTCCACATCGATTCGTATTATTTCTGCTCAAGGGCCCGAACTTCCTGTTAACTCTGATAAAGGAAAAAGCTCCATAATATGGAGCTAAATGAGACGAAATGAAAGGCTGAAGATCAGAACCAGCGGGTCCAACATCTTCCTGCTCTCTGGTTTCAGTGAACCTGACCCATCTCCACCAGCCTAAACTAAAACCAGGTTTTATCTGTCAGCATGAGAAATCCATCATCCAACTATCATCCAACCATCCATCATCCAACCATCATCCAACCTTCCATCCATCCATCATCCAACCTTCCATCCATCCATCATCCAACCTTCCATCCAACCATCATCCAACCATCATCCAACCATCATCCAACCATCATCCAACCTTCCATCCATCCATCATCCAACCTTCCATCCAACCATCATCCAACCATCATCCAACCATCATCCAACCTTCCATCCAACCATCATCCAACTATCATCCAACCATCATCCAACCATCATCCAACCTTCCATCCAACCATCATCCAACCATCATCCAACTATCATCCAACCATCATCCATCCATCATCCAACCATCATCCAACCTTCCATCCATCCATCATCCAACCTTCCGTCCAACCATCATCCAACCATCATCCAACTATCATCCAACCATCATCCATCCATCATCCAACCATCATCCATCCATCATCCAACTATCATCCAATCTTCCATCCATCCATCATCAATCCATCATCCAACCATCATCCAACCTTCCATCTATCCAACTACCATCCAACCATCATCCAATCTTCCATCCATCCATCATCAATCCATCATCCAACCATCATCCAACCTTCCATCCATCATCCATCCATCATCCAACCATCATCCAACCTTCCATTCATCCATCATCAATCCATCATCCAACCATCATCCATCCATCATCCAACCATCATCCATCCATCATCAATCCATCATCCAACCATCATCCATTCATCATCCATCCATCCATCCATCCATCCATCATCAATCCATCATCCATCCATCCATCCATCATCAATCCATCATCCAACCATAATCCAACCATCATCCATCCATCATCCAACCATCATCCATCCATCATCCAACCATCATCCATCCATCATCAATACATCATCCAACCATCATCCATCCATCATCCAACCATCATCCATCCATCATCAATCCATCATCCAACCATCATCCATCCATCATCCATCCATCCATCCATCCATCCATCCATCCATCCATCCATCCATCCATCATCAATCCATCATCCAACCATAATCCAACCATCATCCATCCATCATCCATCCATCATCAATCCATCATCCATCCATCATCCAACCATCATCTAGCCGTCATCCAACTATCATCCAACTATCATCTTCATTTTCAGTAGATCGGGATGGTTCTCTTCAGAGGGAACTTACCTTTGGATCTCTGGAATGTTCTGGACACAGAACCTGCAGTCTCTTACAGTAGGTCTTACTCTGAGGGTTGTAGACGTCACAGAAAAGCCGTGTTGCCCTGTGACCGAGGGACAGCAGAGACATCGGACATGTGAGAGACGCAGACAGGAGATGCGAGTGAGACAAGAGGACGGAGGTCTTACCCCTCAATGCGAGTCGGATACATGGAACCAAAGGAAGTCTGGCTCTCGTACTGTTAGACACACAGAGACAGAGGGTGAGACAGAAGTTTCAGGAGGATCATCTCCAACATCATGGAAGGAGCAGAGGAACTGTTCTGGTTCTCCTCAGCTTCACAGAAGATGTGATAACATCTCTGATTGAGCTCATGTAACTGATTTCTACTCTTATTGGACCAACAGCATTGGAAGAAAACGAGTCATAGTTTCAACAGTTTACTAAAAAGATCTGAAACATCAGCCGGTATTCTGGGCCCGTCTCCCAGCTGAGAACATCTACAGTCTGCAGGTTCCCTCAGACTGTAACTCTCCATCATATTTCTGGCTGGATGTTGTGGGAGGTTCTCCAGCAGGAAGGCAGACCTTCATCTTAGACTCGGGTTCTCATCAGCATCCAACAGGTTTTCCTTCAGAACGGTTAGGGGTTAGCTCCACCCACCTCCCAACTTGAACAGCTTCCCTGTCCCACAGAATGATTCTGGCACCGCAATGCTTGCCTGAAGGTACACTGTGCTCAGGGTGAGGATCTGTTTTTTATTCTCTACAGTGTTTCTTTACAGGCCAAATATTTTGACTTCTTCTCTCCTTTGAGGTCCGTCTTACAGGTGTCTGTAGAGTCTCCTGGAGGACAACCAGCAGGTTTTCTTCCAGAGGAGGTCAGATGGATGACTGTGGACACATCCTCCCAACCAAGTCACCAAGGTCCTCCTGGCTGCTTTGTCAACAGGTGGTTCATCCTCCCTTGGCGTTCAGATGATGGACTGACAGAACTCTGGGAGACATCCTTCTTTGACATCCATGTGGCCTTCAATGCTACGAGGCTGGAACCAGACTGAATGTGGGAAAATCCAGGAAGGTGGAGAAACCTGAGTCCTCCAGCTCACCTTAGCATAGCACCTCTCCATGTGTCGCAGCGCCACCTTGGGGTTTACGGGGTGGCTGCAGGACACGCAGAAAATCTGCAGGTCTGTGTCATCGCCATCTCCTTCTGCAACCTGCAGACATGTAGAGATGGTCAGAGACGGGTAGAGACGGTCAGAGATGGTCAGATACGGCTAGAGACGGTCAGAGATGGTAAGAGATGGTCAGATACGTCTAGAGACGGTCAGAGATGGTCAGATATGGCTAGAGACGGTCAGAGATGGTAAGAGATGGTCAGATACGGCTAGAGACATTCAGAGATGGTAAGAGATGGTCAGATACGTCTAGAGATGGTCAGAGATGGTAAGAGATGGTCAGATACGGCTAGAGACATTCAGAGATGGTAAGAGATGGTCAGATACGTCTAGAGATGGTCAGAGATGGTAAGAGATGGTCAGATACGGCTAGAGACAGTCAGAGATGGTCAGATACGGCTAGAGACGGTCAGAGATGGTAAGAGATGGTCAGAGATGGTAAGAGATGGTCAGATACGGCTAGAGACAGTCAGAGATGGTCAGATACGTCTAGAGATGGTCAGAGATGGTAAGAGATGGTCAGAGATGGTAAGAGATGGTCAGATACGGCTAGAGACATTCAGAGATGGTCAGAGATGGTAAGAGATGGTCAGATACGTCTAGAGATGGTCAGAGATGGTAAGAGATGGTCAGATACGGCTAGAGACAGTCAGAGATGGTCAGATACGGCTAGAGACAGTCAGAGATGGTCAGATACGGCTAGAGACGGTCAGAGCTGGTCAGAAAAGGTTAGGGATGGTCAGAGATGGTCAGAGAGGGTTAGAGACATTTAGAGATGGTCAGAGGCAGTTAAAGATGGTTAGAGACGGTTAGCGGCGGTCAGAGATTGTCAGAGATGGGCAGAGAATTCTAAGTCTCTCACCTCCTCGTCTTGCTGAACCTGCTGCTGCTTGGCGTTGGCAATGATGGCTTCCAGTTCATGAAAGCGTTTCTCCATTAGCGTGAGGCGGAGCCTGGCGGCCTGCTGCTCCCTCCTGATTCGCTCCAGCTGTCTCCGCCCCATCTCTTCGGCCACGCAGGGACTCTGTTGCCACTGCTGGATCCTCTGAGGCAGGATTTCGTAGATCCGGCTGTGGGACAGACAGATTTAGATGCAGCTCTGACCGCTGGTGGCACCGTTCCATCTTCACGCTTACTTAGCAGCCAGCTTCATGCCGCAGTCCTCAGAGCAGTACTTGGAACCGGTCCTGGCTGGTTCCACACAGCCTGGACCCAAACATTGCCTCATAGCACCGCCTGCCTCTTTGACCACGCCTTCCCCGGCTCGCTCGCTATGCCGCACGCGCTCCCTGTGGCGCTGCTTCACTTTGTGACGCCGTGGTTTGGCCTCCTCTTTGGGAACGGAAACAGACTTCTGCAGGAGCACAGCCGTGTTAGTGACATCATCAACGACATCAGCGACTCCTCCGTCTACCAGGATGCACCTTTTTCTCTGGCTTCTTGTCCCGCCTCTTCACATGTTTCACCTTTACCGCCTTCTTCCTCAGTGAGTCCGACTGGGCATCTTCCTCCTCCTCCTCCTCAGTGTGCCACACCTGCAACAGGATGAAGCATCACAGGACAGGAAGTTGCTCCTTTACCTTTAAAAATGCTGCCTGACTTTTGATCCCTGACGTCTGATTGGTCAGGCAGCGTATCTTTTACATCTGATTGGTTAGAATGTGTCCCTTACCAGGTCTCTGTATCCTGCTGCTTTGTACTGCTCGTACAGTTCCAGCTCGCTTTCACTAAACCCTTCCTCCTCCTCCTCTTCATCATCATCCTCTGAGAGGCGCCCCGCCCCCTTCATGGACAGGCTCCGCCCCCTGCTGCCACTCCGGCTCATCTCTTCATCTCGGACACGGAGCATTTTCTGCTCAAAGACAAATATCAGCCTCTTCAGTAGGAGAATAGAGCTGCATCCATCACTATCAGAAATTCTGAATCAATGGGCTGTGATTGGCTGATAAGACAAGCTCTACCTAAGGATTGGTTAAAGAGAAGTTTGAGGGTCAGTTCTGGAGAGTTTTTACCCTTCATTTAAGAAACGCATTCCAGCAAACAGAGACTGATGATCAGGAGGAAAAGGCAGCAAACTGGAGGACCTCTGGAGTTTTTTCTGCTCTAGGTCAACCAGGATGCTGCTGACGTACCCGGGCTCGGACCTCGCACTGGCGAAGGCGACATTTTTGCCGGATCTTGTTTGGACCTCCAAACTTCTTCATGTCTTTGCAGAAATCACACTGAGCGCAGTCCTCCGTTCTCAGACAGGCGTCACATTCTCCGCACATCCGGGCCGAGCGCTTGATCTACGGCGAAAACGGTTTCAGTCACGAGAGCAACGGTACAGAGAAAGAACGTCACCGGGTAACCCAAGTTATCACCTGCGAACCCCGCCTCCTGTCGATTTTGGGCACGGGGGTGGAGCCTCTCTCTCCATCGGGTCGTTCGTCTCTCTCAGGATCCGCCTCTTTGTTCTTCTTCTGCCGGTATTTGATCTCCAGAGAAGAGTCTTTGTCTGCAGACAACACTCAGCTGTAACAACAGATCCGGCCAGCAGGGGGCGTTGGTGCTGGACACTGACCTCTGCAGGACGGACAGAACCAAACTCTGATGGCTTTGGCCGCCCTCTCGGAAATGCCAACACATTGACCGTGGAACCACTCGGTGCAGCTGTCGCAGCCTCTGGAGCGCAAACACAGAACTTTACATCGACTGACATTCATCTAGTTAAAGGAAAAGTCAACAAACTCCCAGAGTGGCGTCTGCAGGTCAATGCAGCGAGGAATGATCTGATCTTTATATTGGAGAAACCAAACAACCTCTCCACAGACGCATGAACCAACACAGAAGAGCGCCCTCCTCTGGACAAGACTCTGCGCTACATCTACACCTAATGAGCAAAGTCTGTATGTTATGTATCGTTATGAACAACTAGGACTGAAACTTAAATCATTGCAATGTAAATTGCAGTTGGCAATAAAGTTGATTGACTGATTGATTATAAAAACCTCCCAAGTGAGGCGCCCCCCCCCCCCCCCCCCCCCCCCCCCCCCCCCCCCCCCCCCCCCCCCCCATTCTAATGAGTCTCCCCCCCCCCATTCTAATGAGTCTAGCCCAGTGGTCTGCAAACTTTCATAACCACAGAGCCATTTTTCCCAGGGTCAGACCAAGGCCATTTCTCAATATGCGTTCTTGAGCGTTCTCATGTGCTCGTGACACGTCATCAGCCTCAGCCCGAGTACCGTTCCAATTCTCGAGAACGCCAGATCGAGAACGCATCAAATCCCCGGATGTTGTTCTCGCCCCGCCCTCTTTATCGAGCATGCATCAGAGCAGACTTGTGCGTTCTTCAGACTGACCGCTTCCCCAGAATGCCCCGCGGCCGCAGCTTGATTCCAGACAGCGCTCACAGTGGTAAGTTAAACATTCCCTTTTCTGCTGCTGTTGTTCTTCAAAAGTACGTTTTGAAATCGTTTGAGGCGATAACATTATACATTTAAGCCTCCCTGTGTGGCCTGTTTACAGAGTTAGTGCGAAATTTTTTAAAAAAGTCCGACGTTGAGCGGACCAGAGTGACCAGCAGACCTCCGAGGGTAACCGCAGCCAGGGCTAAATTTACCCCGTCTGTAGTGCACTTCTCTCGGTCTAGTTATGTGTGAACTACCGCTCGTTCTGATGGCGGTTTTTTGCGGTTCGGTAATTTTTTAAAATGTTTTTTAAGCTTTAGAAATGAAAAATATTGTTTTCAAAATGTTTTGTGTAGGGAATAAATAGTTTTGACTGTTAAAGAAATGCTAAAGAACGTTGCCTGTGATGACGTCACGAGTACGCTTCTGCTCCAATACACATACGTGCTTGCGTGCTCGCGTTCTCGTCAAGTCCGATCTTCCTGCGTTCTCGCCAAGAACGGACGAGAACGAGAATGCGAGTACGTACTCGCGTTCTCGTGAATTGAGAAACGCCTCAAGTAAAAGTTGTTTGGGGATGACTTTTTCAAAAAAACAATCTATTTGTTTTTTTGTTATTATCTGGTATAGGAAATTAGTCGTCATCTTAAACAACTAACAGTGTTTGTATTTTTAGCTTTTAAAATATTATTAAAACACATAAATTCCAAGCTAATTAAAAGAAAAAATGTCTCTAAAACATATTTCCGGTTCTTTTAATTTCATTCTTTATCCATCGTATAAAAACCATTAAAGCTTTTAAGGCTGGTATTTATTTCATAGCGCATTATTTAGCTCTTTATATATATTTTAGCCTTTATTAAGAGCCGCTGCAGAGGGTCCAAAGAGCCACATGTGGCTCCGGAGCCGTAGGTTGCAGACCCCTGGTTTAGCCACATCATGTTGGTTGCTTCTATGTCACATCCTGTCATGATCTGGAACACAGACAGAGCTGTGACTTCGCCAGGCTGCTGGTCATGTTATAATAAGACGGGACAGGTGGACCCGGTGTTCGAGGTGAGACATCAGGCGGATCATCTGGAATAGACCCTTAAAGTTGCTTAAAGTTACTTTGTTACTAAAATATTCTCAGAAAAAATTTTTAAAATGTCAAAAAGTTCCAGATGTTAAACCTGTGATATGTGTCTGATGAATATAAGGTTAAAAGTACGCTCTGCTGGACCGAGACCTGCTGCTGGTCCAGAGTAGAAGGTTCTGGTAACTCAGGACCAACCCAACCCTTAATCCAGACCCATTTGGACCCAGAACCCTCAGATTATCGGTTCAGTTTCTCACATCATGAAGCAGTTGATGTCTGGTTTTCTACACACGCAGTAAACTGGCGCGCTGGGGGTTTCCATGGTAACCTCTCCTCCTCCTCCTCCTCCCTCCTCTGGACCCGGTTCGGTCCCTGCAGCCTCATCAGCCTGAAACAAAAGGGAAACTTTCACTTTATGCCTGAAAGGTTCCGGAACCCAGAGATCTAAACGGTTCTGAATGACCCGGACCACAAGCAGAGATCCGGATCGTTCACTGATCCGGTTCTGATTCTTCCATGGTTCTGGGGTCCCCCCCTCCCCCCTTCAGACCCAGAACCTTTCTGTCTCCAGACCAGGACCCAGAACAAAGCGACCAGTGCGCGCGCGCTCTCCATTTCCCTGGAATCCGCTCCTGCTGCAGAGGTTCTGTTCGGTTCGGTTCGGTTGCAACCCTGCGGGTCCAGCTGTAGACTCACCATGGGAAGGTTCGGCTGCTCCGGTCCAGACGCAGCTTGGTTTGCTCTCCAGCTTCAGAACCAGAACCTTCAGGGTTCCCTTTGTTTCCACCGCATCTTCATCCTCCTCTTCCTCTGCAGCGGACCGAGCTCTCCCTGTCCGGCCCGACGCGCCCCCTGCTGGCCGGAGAGGAGCAGGACGCCACCACTGATTTACTATCGCGGATCAATTGACCCTTTATAGGGCAAGTTACTGGCCCCCCAGTCCCTCAGTGAGGTCTAGAAGCACTAGATCTATATCCATCCATCAAGCATAGATCCTGCTACATGGCTGACATCTTATTCTGGCATTTGACCAATTAGATGAGCCCTTGAATGATAGATTACCTGTTTACAACAAGTAAACATTTCTTAAATTAAGTGTATTTACCCTTGATTTGAGCAGGGAAATTAGATATTTTGCCAATGGATATGTGTCTTTCTATTCTTAAAATAGGATTATTCGATAATATGCTCTTAAAATAAGACAATCCAATAGTTTTTTTCTTATTTTAAATGTAAATGATGTTGTTCCACTGGCAAAATGTCTCTTTTATCTCCCTAATTCAAGAACAAATGCACTGATTTTAAGAAAAAAAGATGACTTATCTATCTATCTGTCTGAAGTTTTCCAGTGTACTGTAAAATAAGTTGGAAAAAAGTCAATTGAAGAAAAAGGTAAAAAGCTAATTGAAAAGTTGAAAATATATCTAGGTTTATAAACTAAAAACTGTCAGTGCCAGTATCAGCATTAATGCCTCTAAGGTTATGTTGGACCAAAACAATTTGTTTCTCATGTTTTTCATGAATTTCTTATAGAAGCACTTTTGTTATTTTTTCTAATATATTCTGTAAAGTTTTTGTTATTACATTGACATAAATTGTTGCAATCAAATATCCATTTTTTTTATGTTACAAAGGTAATAAGGTCTGATCCTGATTACACTATTGGCTGGAAATTTAGATTTTCTAAGTATTTCACTTAGTGCCCTATAAAGGGTTAATATCGAATTCATAATAATGACCTTAAATAAGATAAATTGAATAAGTTTTTACTATTAATCATTACTAATATTTCAATTCTATTCAGTTTATTTCTAAAACTCCAATTCACATCCTGTCATCTCAGGTCACTTTCCAGTTCACCAGATCATCCAGTCAGATTGATTCAAAGTTTTCTATCTAAGGAAAACCAGCTGATTGCATTGACTCATTGACTCTTCAGCAATCCCTCACACTAAGCATGCTTGTAGCGACAGTGGAGAGAAAAAACTCCCTTTGAACAGGAAGAAACCTCCAGCAGAACCAGGCTCAGTGTGAGCGGCCATCTGCTGAGGCCCACTGGGGTTCAAGGAGACAGAAGCAGACATAGAAAAAGAAGCATAGATACAAAAGGCAACTGTCTATTGCTTGAACTGTTGTGCTGTCCCGTTTCAAACACAAATATCATCAGCTGATTATTTCTATGAATGACTCCTTTAATTTGGCCTTATTTTCATATTTAATATTTATGTTTTTAGCTAAATATTTTTTTCTTCTGCTATTTCATATTCAACGTTTTGCTTAATTTGTAATTATCCACCTTATGGTTGACGTTTGCAGATTTAAGAGGAGTGAGTTCCCTTTGTTTTTGGTATTTATGAGCATTAACCTTACATCCTTTTTTTATGTTTAAGAAGTTTTTCAAAGTTTAATTTTTGGATAAAATTTTCATTAAAAAAACTGAAAGACAAAATAACATAAGAAGATAAACTGTCATGAAATGGTGGTGTTGGTTTGAGGTCCCAAATGCAGAGACGAGTGACTGAGATGAATTTAAGTAGTTTAATTAAGGTTCTCAGGCACATAGGCTGGAGGTTCACAGACGCAGAGGCAGGAGTCAAAAATCTAACAAAAATATCTCTTGAACCAGAATCTAGGAGACATCAGGGAAAAACCAAAACTAAGAACCAGGAAGAGAAGTAAGACGGACAGAAGATTGATCAGATGTTGAAGGGAAGTTAGACGACAATCCAGCAAACAGGAACTGAAGAGGAAGGGCTTTTAAAGGGGACAGAGACAGGGAGAGGGCTAATGAGGGAAATTGAAAACAGGTGAGAGCAAAACAGAAAACAGATCAAGAGAAAGAGGACACAAGAGGGCAGCAGAGGACAACAAATGAAAAGCTGGAAGACAGGAACTCATAACAAAACAAAATAATAATCAAATAACTAGGATAATGAAACATGGTGAACAGAAAACTAAGTACTACAAATCAAGGAGAGACAGAATACTCAAAAGAAAAACATAACAGAATCAGGAACCTGACACTAATAAGAAAACAACATAATAATAATCAGATAACTAGAAAAAAGAAACATGGTGAAAAGAAAACTAAACACTAGAAATTAAGGAGCAAAAGAAAAACATAACAGAAACAGAAATCTAACATAAACTGTCAGTGAAGCTGGGTTTTCGTTTAGAAACATTTATAAAGCTTAAATGGCTAATTAATCAACTTTGAATTTCATTTTTTTACTTGGTTTCTGGTCTATTTCTGCCTTTTAATAAAGAGCATGTTTGATATTTTACTGCTTGTATTTAATCCCATCTGTTTTTGTTCAGTTGAATTGATTTTATTTCATCAAATCTATTGCTAAGTTGGTTACAGCATCATGCAGAGCAGCAGTGTTCATGTCGGTCCCGATGCTTTCAGTACGGTTCAGTCATTCAACAGGTGAACTGGATCCTTAATCAGCCCAGTTTGGGACTAAAAACAACCAACTGGATCAGTTCCTCTCTGGTTGGAACAAAAAATCTGTCCCAAAGCAGAGACGGCTTCCAACAGCAGGACTGGACCTGAAACTCACCTGCAGATCAAATCTCTGCCGTCAGTCACCGGATCAGGAAGATTAAACAGAGAGAAATTACTATTATGAGACTGAGCGTCATAAAACATTTCACCAGAATTTCTGTTTTTTTTTTTTTTTTCAAAGTGGAAAAATGATAAAAAAAAAAAAAAAGAAGGCAGCAAACAACAAAACAAGAGATGCTCTGAACTTCCATATCAAAGCGTTTTTGTATCATGTTTTTTCTCCCGCAATGTTTAGTAATTAAGTAAGTAATGTTTATTTCTATAGCACCTTTCACAGACATAGAGGTCACAAAGTGCTTCACAAAACTAAAATTTCATTAAAATACAGGGTTTTAAACTGGAACTGAAAAGAGAGACTGGGAGCCAATGAGGAGTTTTTAGAATCGGTGTAATATGAGTCCTTCTGTTTGAACGAGTCAGTGACCTGAACCTGCTGAAGACCAGACGACTCGAAATGCCATTTTGTGCACTCTGTTTAAACAAAATCGAAATTAAAGTTGTCTAAGTCTAAGGGTGAGTTCGAATTTCTGGGCTGCGTCCTCAGAAGGCCAGATTCGTAGGCCGATGATGTCATAGCGCGGCGCTGAGGTCTGGTCGGACTCCTCGTTATGCGGCCGACAAATGCGTCCTTCTTTTTGCTCGTTTTGAAGGTCAGGTCCGCTGAATCCTCCGTAGCCTTCGGTATCCCAGGATTCATTGCAAGACCAAGCAAGCTGGCTGCTTCGTGATCAGAGGAAAAAGGGAAATGGCGCCCAATAGTGGTGAATTTTGGAAGTTCAGTTTAATATCATACAAGTCTGTTAATAGTCTGTCCAAGGTTCTTGAAAAATTAGTTTTTAATCAGCTCGAAATGTTTTTAAAAGATAATATAACTGAGAAATTTCAGTCTGGGTTTAAAGCTGCTCACAGTACTGAAACAGCTTTGCTTCGAGTGTACAATGATCTTCTTTTAACAGTTGATTCAGGCAATGTTGCAGTTTTATTACTTTTAGATTTGAGTGCTGCGTTTGACACTGTAGATCATCAGATTCTCTTACACAGATTAAAACATTGTGTTGGCCTAAGAGGCACAGTATTTGAGTGGTTTAAATCTCACTTAGAAAACAGAACTTTTTCAGTTCATCTTGACCACTGCTGTTCTGGGACCAAACCTTTGAGGTATGGTGTCCCCCAAGGCTCAATTTTAGGTCCCATTTGTATTTATTGCCTCTTGGTCAGATCTTCCATAAGTTTAGTGTTTCTTTTCATTGTTTTGCAGATGATGTCCAGATTTATATGCCCCTTAAACTACAGAATCGTAAAACTGAATCTCTTCAGCTGTTGATGGATTGTTTAGCTGAAGTCAAATCTTGGATGGAACAAAATTTTCTGCACCTCAATCACACTAAAACCCAAGTTTTATTATTTGGTCAAAGTCTGATTCTGATTCTTGGTTCTTTAGCTCAGTTTTGTCAGACCTCTGCTAGGAATCTTGGTTTCACTTTTGATAGCTGTTTAAGCTAGATAAACAAGTTAGCTCTGTTGCTAGACCAAGTTTTTATCACCTGCGGATTTTAGCAAAAATTAAATCTTATTTTAGTTTTAAGGACTTTGAAGGACTTATCCATGCTTTCATCACATCTCGGTTGGATTATTACAATTCATTATATAGAGGCATGGATAAATCACAGATGCAGCGACTTCAAATGATCCAGAACGCAGCGGCACGGCTTCTTACAGGAACCAGGAAGCGTGACCATATAAGGCCTATACTGGCCTCTTTACATTGGCTGCCCGTCTTTTATCTAATAGATTTTAAGATTCTTTTATTTACTTATAAGGTTTTAAATGGATTAGCTCCTCCCTATCTTCGGGACCTTTTCAAATTTCACTCTGTATCCAGAAGCTTACGATCAAATAATCAGCTATTACTGACAGTCCCTCGGACCCGACTTAAGAGGAAAGGAGATCGGGCTTTTTCTGTTGTTGCTCCAATTTTATTGAACAATTTACCTTTTCAAATTAAATCTGCCCACAGCCTGGATCATTTTAAATCGCTTCTTAAAACTCATTTTTATTCTTTGGCATTTACTTGAAGTGTTTTGATCATCTGTTTTTATTAATTAGTACTATTGTTTGTCCTGTACAGCACTTTGGTGCAGTTTTATACCTGTTTTTAAAGTGCTATATAAATAAATTTGACATTGACATTGACATTGACAATAGTTCCGTCTGAGATGAATGAAAAATAGTTGTTTTAATGGTTATAGAGTCAGATATGTGGCGGTAATGTTTGATTTATTT